TTTTCGAACATATTTCAACTAAGGGCACTAAACTTTCAAAACACTAAACTTGACACTTTGCAAATATTAAAAAACGCATATTAGTACGATGATAGATAATTTAAAATGGATGATTGTTAGAAATAGAATTAAGTATTATAGGCTTTTACTAATATTAAGTTAAAAAATGGAATTTTAATATGAATTTTCTATGAAACTAATAAGTAATAAAAATGAAAAATTAATAAGTACCTATATAACAGAAAATTAAAGTAAAATTAAAAAATTTAAAATTTTTAATCAAATATTATTAAAAAAATTTATTTAAAATACATGAGCAAATAAATGTGAAAGAAATATAACAAGATAAAATATTTAACGACACCCTGTTATTTAATTATTTCTTCTTTATACATTTTAATATTAGATTTGTTCCATATTCATACATAGTATTCCTATTTCCCATTAAACTATACAAAGTTCTGAAATTCTAAGTATTTATATAAATATAAAATTTATACATGGAGTGCAAGTGATGCAAATTGTAAGTACACATTTTATGTAAGTTAGATATATATGCAGATATATGTATACAATTCTTTCCTATATATGAATATTCAACAGACAATGTTAAATATAATGTAAATGTTACCTACAATGCAAGTGAGTCTCTTCCAATTTAATTTTAATTTTCTTACGCCGTTAATAATAAATTTTCTTTCCGTTGATCCTCTAATTTTAATACTAGAAAATATTTTCTTTAGAAACAAAAGTTTTAAATTTCAAAAATAAATTTTACTGAACTTTTTTATCCTGAGGGAAATCTCTATACTGATGAAAAATAATTTTTTAATTTTAATGTACCTATATAATTGAAATTAATCATCATAAAAACATGCACATACATACATACTTACATTTACATACATATAACGATTGATTATTAATTTCAAAATCAAAACCTTAGTACATAATTTTCTCCTCTATGACGAAACCATTTCCACAATCCGACCAAATTTCCACCGTTCTAGAGCTAAACCTCTTTCCATACAAAAATAATTCTATAATGCACCTAAATTCCGATTTTGTATTGGTCAACTGTTTTCTGTCACTTGACTAATAGAGTCCTTAACTGTTTACATAGTCTATGCTACTTAGACCTGATGACAGTTTCGATACAATAAATTGGGAGCCTATGCAAGGACGAACCGGGTAGGCAGTTCAATTCCTGGCCAAGTGCTTACTTCACCTCTCTGTGGTGGCGCCTAGAAACATATTTAATATAAAAAGTATGTTTACTGAAATACTAAGTGCGATATCGAAACTTTTTTCTAAGATCACTGCCAAAATAATAGAAGATACCGGTATTTGTGAAGAGCAACAAGGTTTTAGAAAAAATAAGTCGACAAATCGTAGAAAAAGACATTAAGTTGAACAAACCTGCATTTTTGTTTCATTAACCTCACGAAAGCATTCGACAGAGTTTTACTTGAAGACCTCGTGAATCTTCTTGAAAAAAGAAATGTTAACCATCGAATCATAAGTATTATTAAGGACATCAATACAAATAACAACACCTACATTAAAGTAAATAAGGAAGTCTCTAATCAAGTACCTATTCGCATTCGGTTTTTAAGGCCTATCCTATTTTAAAACATTATAGATGAGATAATTGAAAAGGTGAAGATAGCGGGAAATGGATAAAAATTTATTAACTCAGATATTAAGATGGCATGCTACACAGAAGACGTAATTCCAATTTCAGAAAAACGAGGATGACCTGGAACGACTACTCTTTGCATTCGAAAAACAGGTATCAAATTTTAATATAGAAATATCAAAAGAAAAGCCAAATCTATGGCCATATCAAAAAATCCTTTTAATGCAAGCTGGCAGTTTACGGCAAATATATTGAACAAGTCATATGAAGTTCAAATACCTGGGATGCACCATTACTCTTTCGGTATGAATATAGAAAGTAAAACTCGCATATACAACACATGCATCAGACCAGTGCTGAAATACGGGGTTGAAACCAGGGATGACACCACAAAAACGCAATATATGTCTGACTCCGTCGAAATGCATACTCTGAAGTCAATAACAGCATTCTCCTGTCTTGATCATGTTCGAAATTAAAAAGTGAGAAATATATGTAGTATTCAAGACATCAAAAGCTGGAGCAGAAAAGGAAGAAGAGAGTAGAAGACTCGCGTAGGAAGAATGTCGGTAGAACGAATTGCCCATGTAGCTCTGAAGGGAAGGCTCAATTTAACAAGACTACCAGGACGACCACCAAAAAGATGGCATGAATGCTGGAGATCGGGCTCTATGGAGTCAACTCTTTAAATCTTTTAATGCTATTACAATATTTACATAATCATTATCTAAAATTATATATAACGTTCAATTTTTTAACATCAATATTATAACTATAATTGTAAAACAAATCTTGTAATTTTTTTTCAAAAAAACAGGACATAGTCCTATAATAAAGAAGAAGAAAAAAAAATTTTTTATATTGCGGTTGACGAAGAGGATGGTGGTGGGAGAGGGTAGGTGGATGAAATTTTTCTTTTAAAAAAATAAGTTTCTACTAAAGGTTTATTTGTATATTAAAATATATTAAATTATAATATTAAATCAACAACATTTCTAACAAAAAAAAGGGATCATGATTCCACATTGTTATTTTGAATTTAGGTAAAGATCTATGTGCATATGAAATTTCAGCTTTCTATCTTTAACGGTGTAAAAGTTCTGTAAACATGTACACCAGGCATATCAAACTCATTTATCGTCACGGGCCCTTTTAAAGTTAAAAAAATTTTAAAGCACTAAATTATACTCAAATTTGCATTCATATTTTGTTAGTCGCATCACCCGGAGTGATGGAGTATTATTGAAAAGTACTTGGACTCAAATATATAAGTATGTATTTGATTTATAAAACAGTCGCTGTCCACTTCTCGAAACAAACTAACGTGAAAATTCGGTTCCGACTACATTTTACATATGGCTGTGTATCATTAGTTTGATGTGTGACGAACCCCGGAAAATCTTTACTCTGGTTTCAACACTTTCTTACTGATTTAAATTAATATTTGTAACAAAATTTTACAAATTAAAAATAAGAATTAAATTTCAAAATTTTCAAAAATCATAACGGGCCGCAGTATCAAGAGCTGAGAATATTTAGATTTAATGTATTAATTTTGTTTCCACTTTTTAACTAAATTAACAGTAAAATTTTTGCTTTTTAACTGAAACGAACTATCTTCTATTGCAAAAATTTAAAACTGAGATTAAAATATCCAAAATTCATATTGACTTTAAATCTTTAGGTCATTTCACGGCATCGTGCTAAATTTTAATTTACATATTTTATTAAAAACTAATATGCTTTACTTATACTTTGATGTTGTCAAAAAGATCACATTTATTTTTTAGTTTTAAAAAAAACCTCAAGGATTACTTACTATTTATTAAAATTAAACTGAGTTACTTTTAAATTTTTGTTTTCGGGAGAGGACCTTTTTTAATAAGTTTAGTGATACTTTTTAATAAGTGATTTACGTTATGAATTACAATAACTTGAACTTTTCTTTGTGTATTCAAACATTTCAAAATATAAAAGGGGTAACATCATATTTATGTAAGGCGGAGAAAACATCATTCTAGACCTTGTTGATCGAAAATTTAATTTTGAAATAATTTTAAAATTGTTTAAAATTTTTAAAAATTAATTATTTCAAATTTTAAATTTTAAATCAAGGCTACTGTATACCAGGAAATCTTTCGAACAAACACTTTCGCTCGCTCTGGTATTTTCATATTTAATTTTCAAATAAATACCTACAAAAAATTTGTATTAAAATTTTCTTAAACTTGCTAAAAACTTGATGTGATCAAAATGAGGTTTGTGAATACTCTGCAAGTGTAAACAGGGTCATGAATCATACATGAAATCAAATTATGCATTGTTATTGCAAAGTGTCAAATACAGTATTTGAAAATATATTAAAATACATTTTATTGATACTAGATGTCCTTATAATATCATGTTTTCACCTACTTTCTTAACGAGATTGAAATTAAATTTTAAATATCTTTTTTTTCTTGAAAATTTTAAATTTTCAATTTGAAAATTTAAAATTTTTCTTTTTCTCTCTAATTTTGTAATACATGGTATTTAGTATGTACTATACTATACTAAGTTATACATATTTTTTAAAACTCATTTAATTTAATATATTTAAAAAATTGTTAATTTTGGGTATTGTTTTGTAAATAACTCTTTGAAATCAATGAGTGTTAATAGCTTTTTGGACTTATATATTTTTCATTTTATTGTTGTTGGATGAATGTAATTCAACTAAGTTTTAATTAATACTATAGACTACTTCTGGAAAAATGAAACTTTTATTTTTTGTTTAATAATCATAATAAATAAAATAAAAAGGTAATAGTGAGACGCAGAAAAATATTTTCAAATATATTGTAAATTTAAAACGATTAAAATTTTAAAAAAATGTTTATGTCAAAAATTTGTGATACCCATATCCTGCTTTAATATCTTGCATTAACTTCTAAAATACTTAAGGAATTCAATTTTACTTTCTCCAAACTGTGCTAAAATTAAAAAAAGTAAAGTTATCGTGATATTTTAATTTTGGTATATTTTGAAATTTTGGGCTAATTTTTTATTAATTTGTAAGATTTTTTATTACATCATTTATCACATCATTTTTTTATAAAATACATATATTCACCTTTATTTCATTTAGAAAAAAGTTGCTTCAAATTCATCGAAAAATATTTCCAAAAACTCCAGAAATTTCATTACAAAAGTAGTTTGAATAATTGCCGTTTTTAGCGCTAGCTATATACGAACTAGAACTTTTTGAAATTTAGTTCTCATATCTGACACTAATAAGCGCTAAACAACGCCAAAATTTTGCGTGTGTGTTCACCATAAAATTGTCATTCTCTATAAAATAAAAAAAAATTTATTGCAAATTCTGAAAACTTCAAAATACTTTAAATAGTTTTTTTTTTTTGAATACATACGTAAATCTAATAAGGATTTTATAAAAATTTTGAAATAAAGCATTTGAATTAATAAAAAGTATAAATTGTTAAATAATTCGCACTGCTGGCAAGTGTGAGAATTTCTGTGTCAAAGCCAAAGGTGTCGTAGTTACAAATTGGTGTTTGTTTTGAATATTTTTGGCAATTATTTTAAATATAGATTAAATTGAAATTTGTAATGAGGTTTCTTGCTTTTACCTGACTCGCAGTACATCCCTTTTATAAGAATGTCGGGTGGAAGAGAATCAAGTGTTACGAATAATTCCAATGGTATAAATAATCATAATAGCAACAATAATTCTATTAAATCAAGAGGAAGGCCGGCTAAGAAGCCTGCCACTTGCACATGGTGTGGAGAAGGGAAAACTCCTTTAATATACGTATTTCCAACACAAAATGGTAAAAAGGAATTTTGTTCAGAAAATTGTATTGCCGAATTCAGAAAGGCTTACAGTAAAGGTGCATGTACCCAATGCGATAATGTAATACGTGGTGATGCCCCGTGTAAAGAGTTTTGTTCAACATTTTGCCAAAATAAATATCAAAAACGAAACGGAACACACTCGAATCGACAATCAATGAATAATAATAATTCCAAAGAACAGGAAAGAAATCGAAACAGCCCCGCAACAACGCCAACTGGACCATTTCAATATGAAAGTTTTCATGTTTTTGATTGGGATGCATATCTGAAGGTAAATCAATGCAATAACTATAAAAAAACTAAATTACAAAGTAGAATTAATAGAAGAAAATGTATAAGTATGTACAAAAAAGTAAAAAAAAATATTCAAATGTATTATTTATGTACATACCTACACATAATTGATACAGATAGAAATTTTAATGTAAAAGAAAAATTTGTATTAAGCTTTTGATTCCTTTGCAGAAAACTCAAAGTGTTGCTGCTCCTTCGGAATGTTTTAAACAAGCATCCAATCCCCCGCAAAATGATTTCAAAATTGGTATGAAATTAGAAGCGCTAGACCCACGAAATTTTACATCAACTTGCATAGCAACTGTTGTTGGGGTTTTAGGGTCTAGATTAAGGTTACGTTTAGATGGTAGTGATAGTCAAAATGATTTTTGGCGCTTAGTTGATTCTAATGAAATTCATCCAATTGGGCATTGTGAAAAAAATAATGGAATGCTTCAACCTCCGTTAGGCTTTAGAATGAATGCAAGTAGTTGGCCAACATTTCTAGTAAAAACATTATCAGGAGCAAAAATTGCACCAGAGGAAATATTTATGAAAGAACCGGAAGGTCCTGATAAAAATTTATTCAAAGTTGGACAAAAATTGGAAGCAGTTGACAAAAAGAATCCTCAGCTGATTTGTTGTGCGACTGTCGATGCTGTGAAAGATAATATGATACATGTTACATTTGATGGTTGGCGAGGGGCTTTTGATTATTGGTGTGAATACCATTCTAGAGATATATTTCCTTGTGGTTGGTGCGCTAGAAGCTGTCACCCAATGCAACCACCTAGATCTATGCAACCACATCGGTCATCGCGTCAATCATACGCTCTTATAGAAGAGTGTGATATGAAACCAGCAAATCCAGTAACAGCTCATTTTCATATGAAATGTAATGGTGGACCTTTAGTAAATACGTCACGTTTACCCTCAAAGGTTACCGGACCAACACATCAAACTTTAGCAAAATTATGTATACAAGAAATTTTAGCTGCAAGCACAGATACGTCGCAAGTTTCGCCTTTGCTGTATGCATTAGAAGGTGAAGTTCATATAGTGACAGCTGCTGGCAAAAATTTTACTGTAATGTTTGTTCTTTCGTTAAATTTTTAAGGTTTTAACTAAATATATTTTTAGGTAAAAATTCCCCCTCATCAAATGAAAGATGACAAAGGATTTTCGACATTTTTGGAAAATTTATGCACATCATGTCGATCATGTCCTAATTTAATATCCTTAGAACCAGAACCAGATCAATGTGAAAAGTGTTTAAAATCGGCTATGAAAAGATCTATTAAATCAGAAACTCCACCACCTGTACAAATCAAGAAATGTAAATCGCCATCTGTTGATCGTGATGAACCAGCTACTTCTACGACGCAAAATAATGTTGAGGACGTTAATTTAAAAGGTAAGTTATTTTTATTTTTATAGTATTCGAAATAAATAGAAAATAAATTTTTAGAAGACGAGTTGCCTTCATCAAATGAATTTTCAACAACAGATGTTTCGCCTCCAATTAATAATTTAAGCGAAGTTCCGAATTCAACGACACCTCATATATCATCTGCAGCTAATGCAGCTGCTTCAATGCCATGTAGTTCCACAATTGTAACAGCATCATCGGAATCCACATCTTCTTCTACATCATCATCATCGTCGTCGTCATCTACATCTTCTTCCTCATCAGCATCTGTATCAACATTATCATCAACTGTGACAGTAAACAATGTAGCCACATCTTCTAACAATTCAGTACCTTTCTTAAAATCAACTCCAAATGATTGGAGTATAGAAGAAGTTATTCAATTTATAGCAATAAATGATCCTTTACTGGCTGTCCATGCAGATTTGTTTAGGAAACATGTAAGTAGTTTATTTTCAAGTATTTGTATTTTCACTATGGGGAAACTCTTAAAAGAGCGAATCACTTAATTGAAAGCTATGAAATAATTTATATTCAAAAGAAAATCAAAAATTTATTCAATGTTTGTATACAGATTTATTCTGTTTTTAATTTTAATGCAAATTCATTACAATATTACGGATAACTAATCAGATACACATCCTATTTTTAATTCAATATAACTTTGTAAATTTCCAAATGCAATTTTATAAGCAAAACAACTAAAACGTGAAGGGACAAAAACATGAAATTTGCCTAGGGATGCTTGAATCTTTTCTTATAAATTTATGATAATTACAACTTAGCTTTAAATTGTGACCATTCATTTGATGTAAGTAAATTTCCGGCAGCAAAAATATTTTTTGGATCTAATTTTCTTTTTGCTGCTTTATACAATTCAATTCCGGTTTCTGATACAGTTTCCTTATACCATTTACTACGCAATTTACCAACACCATGGTGGTGTGATATCGATCCACCACAAGCAAGAATTTCATCACGAGCATTATTTTCAATTTGTTCAGTTATTTCTACTGGGTTTGGAATGTCTGAAAATCTAAATGCAAAATAAAAATAAATACAACATCCAGTATCATAAGTTTGTGTCACGCGACATGAAACCAAATAGTGAGAAATCTTTTGTTTCTCACAATCCTAAAAGAAATTTTTAATTTTTAACAACGTGAAAAAGAATTTTATGATTACTTACGAAAGCTATTCTTGCTTTAACATTTCGACATAAAGTGCTACATCGATCCCACGGAACTGATGTCTCAAATGATTCAGCAACAATATCATTACTAAGAGCAAAATCCTGTGAATTAAATAAAAGTTAGAAATATTACATTCCTAAAATTTCGTGCAATTTTTTTACTCTGATATATGCTATAACAAAAGTTAAGATATATCCACGTTCACCATTTTGTCCTCCAGCAGCGAATCCGTTATATTTTTTGGCAATTTCATATATAAGAGTTTCTTGGCGTTTAACATCCTCGCTTTCACCTTCAAATAAAAGTGTCGCAGCACATATTTGAGTTAAATCTAAACCTTTTACTCGTGTAATGTATGTTTTCTTTACACTATCAAAAAAACTACCAACCCATCCCTTAGCTTCTTTTAAGCTTTGTCCTAGTATAAATTGCTCATTATCCATTAATCGTACACTAGCTGGCTGACAACGTCTTTCAGCTACCTCTCTCATAAACTTAATTCCATCTTCAAAATTTGGGAATACCAAAGAACCATATCGTTTAACCGGTGGTAATGGTCTAACTTTCAATATCACCTTTGTAACAACACCTAAGGTACCTTCAGAACCTAAAACTATATGGTTAAAATCTGGACCGCAAGAAATCCTTGGCGCTGAAGTTTCTTTGTCTAACACACCAACTGGAGTTACTAGCGTAACTTTTACTAAAAGATCTTCGATATTCCCATAAATATTTTTTTTCATACCCGATGCCCTGGTTGCAACCCAACCACCCAAAGTAGAAAATTCATAGCTATCAGGTTCGTGACCAACAGTTAATCCATTTTTTTGTAATTCTTTTTCTAAATCTTGTCCAACAATACCTGCTTCAAAACATACAGTTAAATTTTTGCGATTTAACCACAGCATTTTATTCATTTGCGATGTATCCACAACACAAATCATTCGTTTTTCATTTTGTGGGCATGTAACTGATCCTGAAACAGATGTACCACCCCCAAACGGGATAATTACTACATTATAATTTTGCGCGCAATCTACAATTTTTTTGACATTATCATGGCATGTGGGCCATACTATTAAATCTGGAATTCTTTTATATTCGTTATTCCATAACATATAAATGTCTTGTAAAGTTTGTCCGTGACATCGAATTAAACGATCCAGCCCATCAATGGAATATGAGAAGTTGCATTTCTTAATTTCGGCTAAAAATTGTTCATTAATGATAGGTTCAGGGAATACTGTTGGTAAATTTGGTAATTTTAAATTATTTTCAATTTTGATATTAAATGTTTTAAAAACCCATTCTGTAAAATAAGGTAGCGATGATCCATTTAATTCATACCTAAAAAAAATGGAAAATAAAAACATATTTTAGGAAAACTTAAAAGCAAAACACCCTTGTTTTAAAAAAGAATTTGTATTAGATTTTTAAAGACTTTTAAACTTACTTATCACCTCGAAAACATATTAAATTGTTTTTGGCATAAAACATTGAGTCATTGTAGCCCCAGCCATACCATTTAAGTGCATCTTGCCTGCAATTAAGAAAATATTAATGTTCTTACAAATATAAAATTTAATTGTTATTTTTTTGATGCAACTAGAGATAAAGACTTTAAATACATTAGCAAGATTAGAACTGTGTTTTTTAAAACTTCTTATATTAAATATGAAGTTCTTCAAATTATTGAAACCGTCTTTAAAATTAATATTGATTTAGTAGAGCGAAATTTTTGTTTCGTTTTATTTTCACGTTCCGAGAAAATGAAATTGTATGAAATTGCAAAAACTTTTTAAAGCTCTAACGTGTGCATATACATAAATTAAAAAAGAATAAAAATATGGTTATTATATTATATATAACATTTCTTAAACTTTAGTTGTTTTATTTACAATAAAAAATTTTACTATTTGACTTAAATCTAATTACAATATTGGTTAATAATTATTAAAATAAATGATTATGTATTGATAATTGTGAGTTTATTGTTATAGTACAACTGATTTGGTATTTTTTTTACCCTTGATTTAAAATGAAAAACAAGTTTCTCATTAAAATTTTTAAAAGTAACAAAAGGAAAGAAAACAAAAAAAAAAGAAATAAGGAAACACGATAGCATTTTTAAAGTAATAATTAAATATTCAGTGTAGTTTAGAAATTATAAAACAGAACGGAAAGTTCTCATAATTAGAATTGGGTCACCCATACATTTGCCGTGCGTTTATCCTTAAAAAAGACAAAGCAAAAATGTGTATACAATAATTGTTATGGGTTTTTATGCATTAATATATTATATATTTATATTATACATTTTGCCCAAACTTTAGTATATGTATAAATATTTTTCATTAATTTTTTCCAGTTAAATTTTTTTCAAACCGGAAAATGTAAATTTATGAGCCATTAAATTAAATACCTTCAGCTTTATAATGAATAATAAATCGACGAATATCTCATTGTATTTAAAAATTCATGAATTTTATTTCATTTTGATATTAAATGTTTTTTAATTTTAATTCTATTTCATTACAAATTATAATTTACCTCTTCTTTGGAATTACACTTTCAATATTCTTTGACATTCTCTGATCTAAGATTGAAGTAGAATTTGAACATTGATTTTGTATAGGAAATTGTTGCAACAGTGACATACTTGTACTATTATAATATCTATTTATATTCTATTGAAGTTCAATTTTAATAGAATGTACTAAATGTGCGAAGGAGCGAAACTTGTATCTTATAAGGCTTAGAATACTTCCTTAATGTTTTATTGGGAGTTTATTAATATTTATTCGCTTTATAAAATTTATAACATATATAATTTTTTAAGAATTAAATATATTCACAGTTTTTCTCTTCTATTTGCTTTCGTTATGACGCTTTCTACGGATACCAGTGAATTGTCATTTGCTATTCTTCTCTTAGTTTTCTTTCATATTTTTCTTTTTTTTTTGTACAAATCGATTTTTTTATTTCAAAATTTACTTTTGTTCTTTTTCAATTGTTTTAGTTTTTTATATTCTATTCTATTTTATTTACGTAAATTTGCAGAGTTTTTCCCAATTTTATCGTTTATAATTAATATAAAATAAAAACTCAGGTTGAAACATATAAAATTTTTATATTTTGTTATAAAATTTAAAAAATTCTTAGCTTATTAAAATTTTGAAGAAAGAGGAGAAAACAATTTTTATTATGACACGGTTATAAAGAGTGAAATATGCGGCGCGAATATTTTGATCTAAAAATTGACTGACTAATATTTTGAATAATGGTAACAGCAGCAATCTACAAACTGAATTAGTACGATATAAATTTGAATGACAGTTTTTAAAATAAAAGAGAAAAAATAAAAAAAAATGGATTTTCTCTCAATATTTCCTTTTTTTGCTCTTCTAAATTTTATGAGAATTTTCGTTTCTGATAACGGCCAGAAAGAAAAAACCAAAATAAAAATTAGAAAAATTTTATTTTTAGTTTGATCAAATTTATCATAAGATAAAATGATATACCAATAGAATAGGTCAAAAGCATAGGGTATGAAAACTTTTAAATTTTCCTAAAATTCGCCTGTTTACTCACTGGATGAGAAAAAAGTGAGTGCATTTTATGTCTATCTAAAAAAAAATAGTTGTTATGGTTACGTACATTTTTTCCCCATCCTCAGAAATTAGATACAACAAATTTTAATTTAGTCTAAGAAAACGGTACGAATTTATGATGCAATTAATTTGCAAGCATGTTATTCTTTATTTAAAATTTGGTGGAAAAAAAAAACAAACCTTTGAAATCCTGAAAGATACGGATAGCTTAATACCTACCATAACATTAAATATGATGAAATTTGTGAAAATGAATCAGTCACAAAAGTCTGCGTACCAAAAGGAAAATTAAAAAAAAATTCTTTTTTAACAAAAAATTAAAATTTTTCTAACTTTTATACTGTTAAATAAATTCATAACTCTTTTTAAACTAAATGCAAATACAAGTTCAGTGCATCGATTTTAGCGTATATTATAAACGATTAATAAACTATATATAGTACAGAATATTTAAGAATGTAGATTTATAAAAAGGGGAAAACATACTCATGCGCTTTAACCGCCCGGTATAAAACAGAACAAAAAAAAATAAAACAAAATGTGGAAAATGTGGTGATAACCATTTCGACTAGACTGTAAATGAATAGAGAAGCAGCACGTTTTTAACATAATTTTTTTATTAATTCTGTTTTTGATTTTTTTAAAGGTAAATTTTCTATTATAGAACAACTATTTCATATTGAATCTATTGTAGATATATTTTTTTGCTTTTTGTTTTGTTGCTGCCGCTGGGGTTCAGAATAATATTAAAAACATTTTTACCATTGCATTGAAATATACTTACTTACCTACCTATCTATATATCTATTGACTCTGATAAACGCTTGTTAACATCAAAATCTAGATATTTACTTTAGGGGTAGATTTGATAACATTTTACAAAAACTCATAAAATATTTGTGTACGTATGTAATTTTTACATACATGCACAATATCTATGTATATAAATAAATTTATTTGTAGATTATACATACTTTTTTAGAGAGTTAAATGGTTTTTTTTTTTTTTTAAACAATTAATTTACTTTTTTATGATTTAAGTGTATTTAAAATAGAACAATTATATTAGCATGTATGTGTATGTTTTTAATGAATGAAAATAAGAGTAATTTAAAATTTGAAACATTTGTTTATAGAAGCGGATTGGCATCGAAAGCGGCGGAAGATAGATTTTTTCTTTGAATTTGCTTTTTGATCTTAATTTTCTTCATCTGAAAATTTCATCATTTTGCTGTCTACATTCTGTTTAAGTACTTAATCTTTTATTTTAAATATCATTTAAAACATCTCGTTAAGTTAATTAATAATTATTATTTAATTATTACATTTGATTATTCAATGCTTAAGTCATAGCTGGAGCAAGAATTTTCGTTTCTAAAGTTGGAAAAATTATTGTAAAAGTTTAGTAAACGGTCATTTAAAAACTATTCAAAATTATTTGAATTCAAGAAGTTAATTCATATTTTAGTTTCTTCATTACATTTAAATGCCTTATCTTCTTGCATGGAGCCTGTTTGAAAAGTAGTTCCGGTTGGTAGTGTTTTAATCCATTGCTAATAAATTACATATCGAAATTTAAATAACAATGTTATTTTGTTTTTACTTCTTTTGAACAAAACTAGATAAAAGTGAACCAACCTTTTTATTACTCAATTTAAATTTATCTGACTTTTTTTGAGTTATACAGAAATTTAATGTTTAAAATTTAACACTCTCCAAGCGATTGTGGAATATTGTGAATTACTACGTAATTGATCTATTAATTTTTCTTTGAAAAATTAGTTTTAATTTTTTTGTTGTTTAATTTCTAATTTAATTAAAAAGCAGAAGAAATTAAAAACAAAAAGAAGATATAGAATTAGATTTTACAAAGTCTAGAATTTTAATTAAAATTTTATAAAGTAAATTGTCTCTCATTTTTGATTAATTTTAATCGATTTAACATTTTTAATTTCAGGAAATTGATGGCAAAGCGTTACTGTTACTTAATTCAGATATGATGATGAAATATATGGGTCTTAAATTGGGGCCAGCCTTAAAAATTTGCAATTTAGTAAATAAGATAAAAGGACGACGTAATAATTTATCTCTGTAAATAACAAATAAAAAACAAAAAAAATATGTGTATATTAATATATATACAAGTTATATATATATAAATATATATATCTCAATATATATACATATATATATATATATATATACGAAATATATACATTTATGTTATATAAAAGTATGTATATAAGCAAATATTTAAGTATCTATGAGTTATATAAAATACATGTAATGAAATCAGGTTTAATTAATTTAAAAAAAAAAACTTAACAAATAGGTTATAAAAAAATTGGATTACAAAAAAAAAAGAAAAAAAAATATAACCAAAAAAGGCTACATAAGATAGACTTATAAAAAAATTGTTAGGGAATTTTTAAATCCTTAATAAACCCTTTTTGAGAGACACTTTAATTTATACAGTTGTGCTCAATTGATTAAGGCCACGAAAATCCAGTTTAAAAACGTTTAAAAGTGTTATACAATTTAATTTGTCTGCAATTGTACTAAGGCATGAAATTAAAGTTACTAATTACATCTAAACCTCAATAAAGATTTGAAATATTTGTTTTGCAAAATTTGTTTCGGTTTTACTTGAATTATTATGCAAGTTATTTTTTTGTGATTAAAATTTTTTTCAAATCCATATTGTTCAGTACTAGAACGTTAAATTTTAAATTTGACAAGTGTTTGTACACATTAGCAAACAATTTTGAATTGTATGATATTTTTGAATATCATTGAACATCATAATATTAATGGTTTTTTTTAACTATTTTTTACCTTAAGATTTGGGTATGACCATATTTTGCATAAAATTATAATTTATTTCTATAAATATATTTACAATTTCGAAGCAGCAACATACTTCTTGAAATTTCAATGATCTTATGATTTGACAAAACATTTTAACCATATGATTGTTGTGTTTACAATTCTTGCAATCAAATATCGTCAAAAAATTATTTACAGAAGAGGTTTGCATTGCATGCATTATTTGCGTAATTATATTCAAATGCAAATTTAATGAAGTTTGTCTTAAATTTTAAAGATAAAAAATCCTGATCGAAATTATTCTTTTTTAGTAAAACTACGAGTAGTCTTTTAAATTTTTAATAAACAAGGTCCAATATTCATATTTTCAAGATATTTACATACGTTATAAGTTTCAAAAATTTTCAAAGTCTAAGTTTTCATGTAAATTCAAGAATGTAACAAACCTTCTTCATAAAAACATTAACATAAATGCAATTATATAAAATGACCAAAAAATATCATTGTAAACTTGTGTCCAAATTTTTATTGCTTGCAAAAGAAGTTTTTAATTTTTTGACTTTTGCAGCATACTCATTAAATTTTCGAAAAGTACCTTCTAATTGTAGAAAATTATTTAACTTAGATTTTTTAACGTTGAAGCTTAACAAAATCCATTTCATCACACCGCATATATAAATATTAAATATAAAATTTTTTAAAGTCAGTTTGAACAATTCCGTTTCTTATAATATAATATTTTCCGTATTACTTATATTTATTATGCATTTAAGTTACAAAATATGTGATTTACAAAAAATTCCGAAAATTATTATTTAAAAACAAAAAACAAAGAAATTTTGATGAAAGCTAAAAAATTTAAGAAATTAAAAATTGTAAATTATAAATTGAAATTAAATTGTATATTTCATGCAAAATATAAATTAAATTTTAAAATTGAATTCCTTTGTAAAATAAAAATCCTCTTAAAATAATATTAAAAAAAATATATTTGATAAAACTTTTTTTTAAAAAATGTTGAATTTTTTTTATTTTTCGTTTTTTAGAAACGAATAATTTTTTTTTCTCTTATAATTTTCTTGATCATGTTTAAAATGAAAAAGGATAACGTTTCGAAGAAAGCTATAACTATTTTAATTTCCTTTTTATTTTAATTTGTTATTGTTGTGATAAATTGTCGCCCTGTATTGTATTGTGTATAAATTTAATATAAATATTTAAAAAGAAAACATTCAATAAGGACTATAATAAGTTTTTTTTCAATTTCCAAGTATTCATCTAAATTGTTTCAAAAATAATCAGAAAAATATACGTTAATAAATTATATAAGCAGTGATATAACATTTCAAGCAATTTTCAAACTCATATTTACAATTTTTGTTAAATTGTCATGTTTAATAATCATAATATGCAGTTTATTTTATTCGTTTTAGAAATTATTTTATGATTTCTTCCCAAATTTTATCTCATTCAACAAAATTATTATAATTTTATTTAATCAAAAAGTATCTGAGCTCTATATCACTGCTTCTTTGTCTTTGAGAACAGATATATCCCGAAAAAACCTTTGCAAACAAAAATTATATTTCCATTTTTAGAATTCTAAGCTTTTATATTTAGTGAAATCAGAGTTATATAATTTTAGTTTTAAATGTAATTAATGAACTGATTTTTTTTTTAATTTTTAATATATCAATATGTATATGAACACAAACTATTAATTATTAATTGTATATTTAATTTTTTTAACAAATATACAATGTATGCAAGAAAATTATAATGTAACAAGATGTTAACTACAAATGTATTTAATATATAGAAAAACAAAATAGGAGAAAATCAGGTTTAAAAAATTTAAATCAAAAATAGATTTATTTTCATGATTCAACTATTTTTTTTTTAAGAAATTACAAAAGTGAAAATCACATTATATTTCTTTACTTTTAACTTTAGAGTATTTAAAAATTACATATTTCGATTTTTTACTCATTTCTATAAATTGCACATATTAATTTATTAAAATTTCGTTTCTTAAAAATGCTCATGTTTTGAAATAAAATATTCCAAATTAGTAAAATTCGGATTTGTAATAACCTCAATCACATGTTGTAATTTCTTTTGAAAAATCAAAAACCATTTTATTAAATATATAAAAATAATTATAAAAGAACAAATTATGAAATGAAAATAAAAAAAAATTTTATTGTTTTATTTAAGACAAACTAGAATTAGAATTGGAAAATTAAATAATGAACTTAGAAGAACTTTAAAATATTCAAAAATAGCTAAATCATGCATTTTATAACATATAAAGTAGTAGTGATTCGTCAAAACACAAAATTCAAAATTAATATTATTTTTGAAAAGTTATATGTATAATGTATATGTACATGATGTATATCAAAATATTTAATAATTTTATACAGTATATAAACATCCTTAAATACATAATACATAATATTACATAATATTTTCAACATGTTATTGTATGATATTCTTTTTTTTATTTTATAAGTACATATATTTATTTAAAGGATATAATATATTATAGAGAATCAGAATTTATGAAATTAAAAAGGAAAAAAAATAATAAAGGAAAATTTGTAGTATTACATACATTTTATAGTAAAAATGCCACATTTATAGTAAAATCAAATTAACTTTTTACTTTTAAAATTTTGATAACAAAAAAAACCAATTACAGATTGAAAAATTTACTTTAAGTTGAATTTTGAAAATTAATGTTTTAATTAATTTAAATCACAAAAAATATTTTTACCTGTAGAAAAAAATTACTTTTTGGAGTAAAATTTTCAAACACAATAATAAAATTTACCAATATTACCCTCATTAGGATCGGTGAAGCGCATGGCTACGCGAGTCGAATGGACTAGGCCAATTGAATGATATTTTAAATTATGATCGGCATATAAATGTTTTCATTCGCCAAATCCAAAATGTTGCAACCGTAAGACGTCAGAAAACCTACCAAAAATAATAAGGTTAACACCACACATGTGTACATTGTTTTTGATTTTTTGCAAAAATGTTTGAATTTTTCTATCCTTTAGCAATTACTTTACAGATAGTTTAGATTTTTCCAATAACATATCACTATAACTGCTATAATATCCAATAAAAAAACACTAATGTATTATCTTGATTTTTGGTTTTATTCACGAAGCTTGTCAATTTTCATTCGATAGATTTAACGGCTCATTCGCCTAAGCTTTAGACGAATTCGCTAATCATAATACCAAAAATTCATATTCGCCAAAAATTACGTTCGCTTCGCCGATCATAATAAGGGCCTATGAAAGAATTTAAAATAACTGGAATATGGTTATAAAACTAGAATTATGTTTTTTAAAGAAGAGTAAGAATTATTTGATTTTATTGAAATGTAATCTTATTTTAAGATAATAAACAAGTTATTATAATACATATATAAATACTATAAAAATAATTAAAGTAGATGACAAAACCGAACCCTCAATTTTTATATCGAATTGCAATAGATTAAAAAAAGAATTCATAGCAAGTTTCCTTTGTTTCTTCTAAAATATTTTTTGTTAAAAAACAAATTTTATTTAATTTTTTTTTTTGTATAAAAAGTTATTATTTATTTTACAATACAATTATGTAATGCACATTTTCAATTTCTCTAACATTAGCAAAGATGAAGTTTTTTTTGTTTATGAGTTCAAAAATAAAAAGAGAAAAAAGTGAAATTGCAATGAAGCAGCACATGATTTTAGAGAGTTTTAAGCTGTTTAATTATAATATTTTAAAAAGAAAAACAAATGTGTAAAAAATAAAAAAAAAACGAAAAAAAAAGAAACACAAAGCCTATGTTAAGCTTGTTATGATTAAAATTTAAATAATTTTAAGGAAAAATAAAATAAAGAAATAGAAAAAAAACGTTTTTTATGTAATGATTTTTTAATCCTTTTCCTAATTTATTTTGTATGATTGGTTTAAGATATAAATAATAAAAACAATGAGAAAACCCCATTTGTACCCTTATAAAGTTAGGCTAGTTCAGTTTTTTATTTGGAAGCGAAACTTTACCTACAATAATTATTGATGGAAAGTTAATTAGAACAATTTTTTTTTAAACAGATAATTAAGAAATAAAAAAAAATCTGTAGTTTTAATATTTATTACTGCATGAACTTTTTTCTTCTACAAATATCAAATTTGAAAGAAATTGAAATGCACTTTGAATTATCAAAAATTTCTTTCGACTTTGTAATTGTGCGATCTAGAAGTCTATCATACTACTTCCATCATTTATACAATTTTCATTTAATAGCTATATTTATGAAAAGTGAACTTTTATCATATTTGGTTTTCCTAGGATAATTGCTAGAAATGTGTATTCCATTATATGCGTGTATGTACTAAAAAGTAAGTATCAACGGTTCCGGATACAATCATTGTATCTCAAAAACATAGGTTTCTTAATAGGTTCTGCTAAAAATTTATTATTTTTTAGTTTAATTAAACTATTAAAAATTAAACTTTTCTCAAAATGAAGCAAAGCGAAGTTAATAACATTTGTAATTTATACTTACAATCAAAAACATTCCACAAACTCTGTGCAATATTAGTTTATGTCGATTTGCAATATTTATTATAACATAAATGTAGTATGCTTTTTATTGTATGTATAAATAGAATATCATGAGGAGCTATGTTTTCAAATGTAAGAAGAGTTTACACAAATGCATTTTGTATGACAATATTGTAACTATTTTTACAAAAACTTAATATTTTGCGACTTTAGTTAAAATTTATATTAATATAGTAAGTCAACAAATAATAAAGGTTTTACGATATCTAATTAATGTAAGTTACTTTAGAAATGTTCCAGAAACTTAGCAAATACAATATTTGAAAGCCTCTTGAACAACTTACAACATAAATTTTTTTTTATATTTGTGGAATTTCTATTAAAGCTAGGTTTACAAAAATTTGTAGGTACATGAGCATGGTTATAGATCATTCACAGAAGCATGGAAAACTTTTATTGTAAGTGTACTTTGTATTTGGAGCCGTCGGTATGTATGTATTAATAATAAGCAATAACTAAATAAATGAAAACATTTTCACAAGCTCTATATTCTAAAAAATGTTATCAATATTATTCAACATCAAGATTTTTTTTAAGACTTATAATAAAAGGTTTTTCGAATGCAATCAATTTTTCTGCAGCTAAGCATACCTTTTGAGCATAAATAATATAAAGTATTTCCGACAATTCAGTTCTAACTTAGGTCTTAATATAAAGCTCGTTCGATAAATCTAAACTGCAGAAACTGCAAAAATAGTATGTTCGAAAATTGCAGGTGTCCTTAAGTTCTAAAGGAATTTTTGAGATTTTGTACATCTATTGCCACAATACGTACTTATTATAAATTAGAAAAGCATAATAATAAAATGTTGAATATTGAAAAATTACTCGAGTTCAGTTTCGGCAGATATCTACATATGTACGTATGTGTGAAAAGCTTTTAAGATTTAATTTATAACTTTCAATGCATGTCTTGATTATCAAAAATCCCTTCAGAAAAGAATTACATACATCTGTATTCGCTTAAATTCAATAAATTTTTATCATGTTTCAAATCCCAAAATATATTTTACTAATTCAAAAGATCATGGAGATCAAAAAAACAGTTTTCCGAAAATTTTCTACAATTAAATCTTTTTAAAATAGATTTCTTCCTTAATTTTATATTCAAAATATGTCTTCATATCAATGCAAACATAATTTTATATTTTTTCACTAATGTAAATTCAATTCTTTACAACATAATGGAATATATGGGACAATTGAATTTGGTTTTGAGAACAAATGTGTGGGATATTCCAAAATTCTTTTCTAATAAATTATAAAAGAAACTTAAGTAGTTTGTAAAATAAGGAATTAATATCACAATATTAAATATATAAATAAATTTATGTAACTTGACGAAAATAGATTCGTATATGAACTTTTCTAGGGCCAAATGTGAATTTCAGAAAATCTTTTACATATGTATATACTCGTGTACATATGTATATTTTAAGTACATAATACTTCTGCTACAGAAAGTATTTTGAATTAAGACTGTTCAAAATCTTAATTTATTTGATTTGAAAAATATAAATTCTCGTAAGGAACGTCTCATGTTGCATCTAAAAGCCTTGTAGCCTTAGATTTTGTGTAGAAGTGTTTTTTTATCATTTTTGGTGCTAAAAGCTCCTCCATCCCTCCGAGGTTACTTGAGTTAAAAGAGTCGAAGTTCCATCGTGCAAAATAAATATTTTGATCATGAAGATAATAATATAATATACCTAATGTACATAAGTCGAAGAATTTTTAATCCTTTGTTAATTTTTTTACACTAAACTTGTGTTATTTTAAAATGAATCGACAAAATTTTATGTTGCAAAAACCTTTTAAGTCTACAAAATTTAGATGATTTCTTACAATAAAAAAAAACAAAAAAATCAAGCTAAAATTTCTCCATATCAACATTTTTGAGTTATGCTATTTTACTGCTACAACGTCATAAATGTAAGTAGTTATGCATGTTCTCATATTTTATAAAAATTAATACACGAGGCGTATATGCAACATGTGTGTAAGTTTATAGAATAAAGTCATAAAACATTATTTTAATGCAACTTAATTTTCTGCGGCTACAAATACTTATTTACATGCATGCTACATGCAAGTAGTACTAAGTATTGCTGTCTTCATTAAAGCAAAAATGCGGTATTTCAACAATGTGATAAGTTTTCGGTAACGTACTGCAAAAGACTTATAAGCTACTATAGCATATTATGTATTCAATAATGTCAACGTACCGTAGTAATATTGCAGTTTGTGCAGATGATTTTTATTAATTGGTATGAATCTGCTCCAGACCTAAATTTTCTCTTCTTACTTGGTAACATACATATGTACATATGTATATGTACAATTTGTATTTCTAGTAGATAAAAATAAAACTTTGTATGTATTTTAAAAAGCCGTTTTCTAAAGGTATTTTGTTTAAAACACAAACAAAAAACGAGAATAATAAAAAAAAATTATTTTTAACGATTTTAATATTTAACTTAACCTTAAATTAGAAAATTTAAAATTTCAGAATCTGGTACACCTCAACAAAGGCCTCAAGGCATACAAATGTTACAAAATCATGTTTTGTCACGCTACAAAATGTTGTTGCACCGTAAAAAATTAAAATTAGCCTTTCATGTGAAAGATATTAAAATACTTCATTAATAATATGTTTTTACATATTATTTTATTGTATTAGTATTAATTAATAAAGTATAACAATTTATACTGTAGTAATGTCTGCGATTCTCCAACAAAGAATAGCGAACATTCAAGGACTTTAAAGAATTTTTTTTTAATGAAAATAATTTTGAAATTTTCAGATTCTACATGCAATGAAAAACTCAACATATACATACATACGTATGTGTGTATTTAATTTTGCATAACATTTCATGGTTCGTCTTAGAGATTATATAGGGAAATCGATTCACATTTTGTGACGTTATCTACATGCATACATACTTATAATCTATAACAAAAGCACCTTATTTCAGAGATTTTCCGTAGATAAGAATTTAACTTACTTATTGTAATTATTTTAAACCAATCTGAGAAAATAATTTCGAACTTTCATTTGAAATAATTAATGAAGACAATGATTTTCTTATGTCACAGACTTTCGTAAAACGGAAATTTGTAGTACCCCAAAAGCTTCATTAATCCTATACGTATGTATATGTATGTATGTACTTAAGATATGGGGCTTTTTGTTTCAAAATGGTAATATTAATAATTATTTTAATCTAGTTAAAAATTAAAACAAAAAAAGTATTTTAATGCAAAACTTCTTTTTTTTTTAAATTTTTAAGTGTTTCCAAAACGTGAAATTTTCTAAAAACCATACCTTGCACATTAATATAATATAATGTAAGCACTACAAAAATTTTAGCACAATTTTTTACGTGATCATACATGATCTATAGGTACGAGTACAAATAAATTGTTTGAAATATAATTTTATCTTTACTTCGAAGCTTTGTCAAATCTTAAAACTTAACTGAGAGATAAAAAATATTATGGTTGAAAGATAAAGTTTAACTTAGTAAAGCAGTTTATCAAAAAAGCTTGAGGTGGATTTGTTACATGTATTGAGGAATAAATGCAAAATGATGAAACCGACTCTCTGTGATATAATATTACAGTACAGTACAGTTTTACACATAAAAGATGAACAAACATGTAAAGAGAAGTATTTTAAATAAGTAAATACATATGCACATATGTAGGGATAAAGTACCAGGGATGCAACACAACTGATGAAATTTCTTTAAATTTTTAGCAGAATGAATAAAATTTCTTTCGAAATAAGTGTTTTCAAAATAATCAAATTTTTTTGGGGTAGGTAAATTATTTTTGCATATAATATGTACGTGTATAGAACAAAATTTTCTATACATAAAGCCACACATACATACATATTTATAATATTTTTTGTTTCGATTATTAATATTATTGCTAGGATTATTTAATTCCTATCCTACAAAAAGCTTGCAAAATCTTTATTGTATATCATAAGAGCATAGTTCAAATTTTCAATTGCTTTTGAGAGTTGTACAATTTTTGTTTAAAGATCCTTCAGAAAATCCATCAAAGGCACTGGTTTCGAAATAGATGCCGAAAAACGGAAAAAAATTATCAAAATAATGTGGTTGTGTTGCACTTTGCAAAAAGTCTTGAAAAGCTTAAAACATCTTATTCTGGAGCTTGTTTAAAAATATCTACCCCATTAATGCTGGGTCTCGAAGGAGGTTTTACCAGCGAAATGTTGCAGGAAAGGGGTTGGAAAAAAAGCTACGGCAGGCTGGTTAACATCTAGTTAGCTCAATGGCTTGTGAAACTGAAGCTTGTATTAGATTTCAAAAAAAAAGTTGAATGGAAGGTCCTAAGTGGTGTAAAGGAACGGAATTGAATCAAAATTTTAAAAAGTAAAAAAAAGCCATTAAGATTGGCATAAAACGTCCGTATCTCGGGGAGTGTTGAACTTACACTGTTTCCATACACAAGTTATACCTATCCATGAGACTCTGTATAATGGAGTATAGCAGTGCAAATACCTGAGAAATCAGGCACCTTGTGAATATGTGAATACATACAAACATACTTACCTTGTTTATATTTCACATCGGTGTAATCTAGCAATTAAACTAGTGGTTCGATTTAAATCAAGTGCGTTAACTAAAAACTGTATTCAGTTTGTAAACATTTCAGTTTATAAACATACACTTGCATGTGTGCGCACTTAAATATAAAACTATGGGAGTATAAAAGTAGGGATATACATAAAGGAAAATATATCGTATATAATATGAATAGATATTTTATTATAGATAAATAGAAATAGGCATTGCTCAAATAGGGTTATTTGAGTGTCAGATATTTCTTTTTATCAAAGAATACTAGGTACTCAGAAAAATTCAATCAGGACCAAGTTAAAGAAACTAAAGCTAATACATTTAAAAGGAATGCAAGATGTAAAATATATGTATGTATGTATATAAAAATATGCGTAAAATAGTAAAAAATAACAATTCATAAAAATTTAATAATGATATTCATACATACATAAATTATTTTTTGTATTTTGTGTTGAGAATTAGTAAAACAAGCGAAAATACCTTAGGCTGGCACTGCGTTTTCTAAACTTCGTTTTACAATATTGTTATTTCCTCTCCATATATTTTTAATCTTAGAGGGTATAATACATTTATTAAACTTGATAAAAAAGTGATAGGTACCTACATACATACGTAACTACAATATTAAATTAGATAAGATTTATTTTATAAATAATTTTTTTCTACACGTATACAGAATTATGTACTATATGAGATTGAACAAACGTACGTTGTTTTATATGTTATACGTACATAGGTAAAATCAAAAATTTTTCACATAACATTTGAACAAAAGGTTGTTGCATCCCTGGTATGTATAAATACTGTAGATAGATAAATGGATACACATATACGTGTATAGCGCATACTGTAAATTTTAAATAATGAATTATATGCTATATTTTGTGTCAACTAATCAATGTTTAAGTTAAAATATTTTATTCACTTTTCTCTAACGTAAAAAAAATTGAACACCTCGCTTTTTATTCTTTTCGAAAAAATTATAATAATAAGTTAAGTGTGGTGTACTGTGCTCTGCTCAATTTTTAATGTTCTTCAACGAAAAATTTTATTTATTAATTCTCTAATTCATATAAGAAACAAAAAATAACAAAATAACAGCATTGAATGGTGAAACTCAGTTTTTGATCTGTCAGTAATAAACCGTATTTCGATGTGGTAACGCGTTAAATTCAATTCGCTTACAGTATAAAAAAACGAGTGGATATTATTTTACTTTTATTTTATATCTTATATTTTGTTTTCATTATTTTATAAAAAAGAAAAATAAAAATTTTACCGTTCGCCGAGTACCTATTAACAATATCATCACCACCTTCATAATTCTTACCTTTGTTCATTTGCACGTACTTACAAACATACATAATGAATTAATGTATTTATTTGTATATAAAAAAATGTTAATGTGAATGAAAAGTTAAAAAAAAAAGTTGTGGGACAATCAGAATATCGACGATTAATGCATATGAACATATGTACATACGTACGTACATCAATTAGCGGCAGCACCCATATTTTATATGAAAAAAAAAATTGTCAAATAAATATTGCGCGATCGTTTTATATGTATAAAGTGTTGTAACGCTTAATGAAATTGTATCTAAGTTGCTCGTACATAGAAATTTTTTGTATGTGGTGCTCAGACTGGAAAAATAAGTTTAATGTTTTTTTTAAGAGAAAATCAATTTGTGATTGAAAATTTTTAATTAATAAAATATAAATTAATGAAAATTACTTCAATAAATAATTCATTATCAATCTAAATGATTTCGAGAAGAAAGAGAAAAAAAGTTTTCTAGACAAAAAAGAAAAAACAAAAAATTCCTGTTTAACCTTTTTTTGTTTCAAAAAATATCTTGTTTTTTTTGTTTTGTTGATTTTTATGCAAATATTTAAAAACGTGAGTAAAAAAATCTTTATTTTATATACAAAACATATACTTATGTATGTAAATATTATATATCCATAAATTGCTAACTTATTAATATAATATACATACATATGTACATATTTATTATGATCATACATTCCTTCCTACCTTGTTATATTTTGTACCTACGTTCACATTTTATACACATACACAATATGGGTGAAGTGATATCTCCATATATACTTACATAAGTAAGTATGTACATACATATATACATATATGTATGTATATATATACGTTTTTAATATTTTAGATTTAACGTTAAAAAAATTTTTTGAAAGGTATATGACTTTTCTTTTTAGTGATAAATAAAGACTATAGGTTTGTCTGGGATAAAAATTGAAAAAACTTTAAAAAGATAAACAATGACGTAATTTCTCGCAAAAAGAAAAAAATTCTCATTTAAAAAAAAAAAACAATCTCATTTAAAACGAAAAACTTGAAAAAATCTTTTAAAAACTTTATAAATATATGATAAACGTCAAATTTCAAAGTATTTATCAAATATGTATAAACAAAAAATTTTTTGTTAAACCAAAAACCGAAAATTTTGATTTGGATTACAAAAGTGTGAAACTTAAAAAAAAACATTGTATCCAAGCTAAATTTAAAGCAAAAAAAGTATCCAAATGGATAGAATTGCATCCAAGTGGGAACGCTGTTCCAGACGCTTTGCTTGCAGAAACTTTATAAAGTTTTTAAAAGTTTTTTAAAACTCTTTAATACCAGACAAACCTGTTATATGTTAAACTTTATTAAATTTTTAGATGGTTTTCAACTTATAAGTAGTAAATTTGTAAAACAAACTGTAAAAACAGATTAGTAGCTTAGTAGTTATGTTAAATTCAATTCTGCTTCGTCATAAAAATGTAAGTCAAGCAAATTTTACTCAAAAAATGTCGTGGAACAATTGTTAAGTCAGAGAGAACAAAAAAATAAAATATTTTTTGTGGTAGTTTATGCGTTTCCTATTTGCGGCGTAATCAAAACGCTAAAAATATGTTGAAAAATGTATTTAACAATACATACATACATCGGATACATATGTATGTACATATTTGCTGCAAAAACGAACTGAAGGTTTCTTGTATGCATATGTATGTTTTAGGTTGACGTCAATTGTTATGTTTGCGCGAAATATGCTGATCTGCTTTGGGTTACTTTTTAAGAGCAAAGTCTGAACCACCTAAAGAACCTAAAAATTTATGATTGATTGTCCAATAAAATATTATAAATTAATTTTTTAAGAATTGTAATAAAGCAAGGCCAAAAAATATAAGCAAGAATCTGCTTTAAAATTAAAAACGTGAATGTGATGGGTTTCAAAAATTGAATTTTTTTCATCTCGTAGACTTTTAACGACCTTCATTCACATTATATTGGTTTTTTGTGAAACCCGATGGGTATGACGGATTTTATAGATGAGCAACGAAATCTTTCGGTTTTTACTTCAACTAATAGCGATTCTTTTATAACATGTTGTTAATGTAATATTTGTAATATAACAAAATTAAATAGCTGTTATGTATAAATTTATTAACGATATAGTACGTATTCATTACATATAGCAAATTATGTGCAAACATATAAAGGCAGTATGTATTTCGCGATGCACATAGATATGTACATATGTTTGTATTAAAAAGCATGTGTGAGAATTAAAAAAAACTAAATTTTTTAATAACTTTAAGCCAGGTTTTTATTCCATGTATGCTATATGCTGTAATAGTACCTTTTTTCTTTTCATACTTTTATTAAGTGTCTTGCTTGCCAACAATCTAATGTATACATATATTAAAGCGCTAGACTTTAATCCCATGAAAAAAACAATGTTTAGCAAGTTATTTTTCGCTTATTAAGCACATTCATACATACATACATAATAAGTTTAAAGTACCTACACAAAACATTTATGTGTGTGCGTTTGAAAAATGTAACAAATGTGAATTGAGGATTAATATGAATTGTGTGCATGGACACACATGTATACATGGATGTACATATACATATATACATCTATATTTATGCATATGTATGTTATCTGTTCTATTCGCAGTTTGATTTCCATAGATAGGTATATAAAAATATAATATGTATTTAGATATAATAAAAAAAGGTTTTATAAGTAGTAATGTTTGTATGCCTAACAGCGAATACCCAGCTTGAAAAGAAGACACTAAAGTAGTTTTTTGCACGGTTTTGAAAAAAAAAAAAAACAAAGAAACATTATCGGTGCATGATTATAAGGTTTCAATGTTTTGACGCTTAGGCCCTTATTATGAGAATGAAATTTTTGTCGAATATTAATTTAATTAGCGAATTCGCCTAAAGTTTTAGGCGAATTCTTTATGATAGAAGAAGTAATTTTTGATTTCCCTGCGTTTGAAGAATTTTGGATTCTCAAGAACAATAATGCTTCATTAAATCTATTCGTAAAATGAATTTTATTATTTCTATTTTGAATTATATACATATGTAGTTAATGATTTGCTAAACGGATGTGCAGGCTAACCGATAAAGTAAAATTATTAGGCACACTTTTTTGTCGGAAATGTGTCGAACACGGAGTTTTGTACAAATTCCATAGTAATTATAATCTTAATCTTAAGAGATTTTTTGACGATTTTTTCTTTTCAATACAAAAATTCGTAGTACAATAAGTGAATACTTTTGATATCTTTCTTCAATTGTAGTTGAAACTTTATTTATTCTTAAAAGTTTTCTGTTTTCATAACTTAATAAGCATACATAAACACATAAAGTACCGACAGGCCCGTCTCGACCGTGGATGCAGAAGATGCACGGCATCGGGGCGCCATTCTGAAAGGGTCTGAAAGGGCGCTAAAATCGAAAAGTGATTTTCCACTTAATTGTTTTTTGTAATTTTTTTTTTTTTTAAATCAAGTTTCCAATCCAAATTTTTTTTGAAAAAATTTTTGCTTCGCTCAAATTAAAAAAACACACAAAAAAAAATGTAGTCGTAGTAGGCTTTTCTTTAAAGAATTTTTTTTTCTTTTTGGTTTATAAAATACAGACATTTTTCATTTTCGTTGCGATATTTTCAGTAAGAAAAAATAGTATTTTATTTAATTTAAATAAAATATAATTTGTTTTGTGAAATATTTAATTTTAATTAGACATTAAAGTGTAAGAAAAAAGTGTAATTTGTTGGATAATACCATTTTTGTGAGTATTGTGATTTTTATCAATTTTATATAGATTTCAAATTATCAAAATTTTCAGATGTAGATATTAATCCTCAATTTAAAGAAAACCCATTACGACGGCGTAAAAAACGTATGTTTGATTACGAACGTCGTGATGAGAGACCAAGAGACCCGGAATAGAACTATAAAATTTCATTCTTTCTTCCAATTGTCGACAGTGCAATCAACTCCCTAATAGAGAGATTCGAACTTCTAAGTAGTCATGCCGAAAAGTTTCACTTTCTTATAAATTTTAATGAAATTTATAATTTGGGTGACGAAATAATGAAAAATAAATGTACCGATTTACAAACTGCATTAACTGATGGTGAAGAAATAGACATAAACTCTTCTGAGTTATATAATGAACTTTTTATATTTAAAGATACCATAACGCCGCAACTAAACAATTATGATTTTAAACTATGTATACAAATGATTTATTTGGGATATTTCCAAATTTAACAATAGGTTTGCGGATACTATTAACTCTACCAGTTTCTGTAGCAAGTGGCGAAAGGTCATTTTCTAAACTTAAATTAATTAAGACATATTTGCGATCAAATATTTCTCAAGAGAGATTAGTTGGGTTATCAATGATTGCTATTGAAAGCGATATCTGCGATGAACTAAAAATTAATAATATTTTGGATGAATTTGCTGCGATAAAAGCAAGAGAAATAAATTTTTAAGCTCACTATCGTGCAATTGATTTTATGTGTAATTGATATCAGTTACAAATAAATGTTTAATATTAAATATTATACAATAATCAATATACTGTTTAATTTGCATTTGATTTTTTTGATATATTTTTTGATAAAGGGCGCTAAATAGAAACTTGCATCGGGGTTCTAGTACCGCTAGAGCCGGCGCTGAGTACCGAGTCAGATGATTTTACGATGATTTTATCAATGTTTGTTTTGATAATTATTTTCAATTTTGTAATTCAAAATTCTAAAATTTTTTCATTTTGTTTCAAAAGTTTCTTAAAAACTAATTTCGCTTTTATTTAGCAATTCACGCTATTAATTTTTTTTTCTACCTACACTCTTCCGTTTTATATAAAAGGCTCTTAAATAAAAAGTTTCGTTTTCAGTCATACATATATAAAAATTTTTTGTTATTTTAGCTACTTATATCATGTTTAATTAAAAGTTACTGGTATCCTAGCGCAGTAAGAAAATGACATCTCAAAATAAAAGTGACATTCGGAAAAATCGACAAACATGGTGACAGTTGAAACGATATTTCGGTTATATTTCAAGCGTATTACAGCTGTTTTATTTGTTCAACTTGGGCACAATGGCCGTACAAAGGCCAAATGATCCTGGTTTCGTTTGATAATTGTAACACACCATATGATTAAGAACTTTCAGTATCATTTCTTCACCATAACTATTTGTAGTTACATTTCAGTTGCAGCTAATTTTGTTTTCCGGGTAACTCACCTATAGGATGTACATACATATTTTAAATTTGTGACAAAGCTGTAAAGTTAAAAGAATTCCAAACAAAATATAATATACTTAAGGTGTTTTATTTTTTTAATTTAAAACTTAATTTAACATTAGGAAGATTTAGAAATATAAATAAATGTTTATATTACAATAAAAGGTGAAGTAAACAAGTGTAGAGCATGCTTGAATTTTTTAAAACTTTTAATGGAAAAATCAGTACTTACTTGTGTATATAGTAATAAATATTATATTAATAATAAGCAATAGAAAAAATTGCATGGCTGTTAAATTTATAAGAACATTATAATTAACAAAACAAAATTTTAATTAAATTTTCGATGTACTGTAGTACTTAATGGTTAAAAAATAGTATACACCAGCGATTATCAAACAAAGTATCGCAACCACAAGTGAGGTCGGGGACAGTATGAAAATGATCGTGCGATAATAAAAAATTAAAATTTAATAAGTTTTTAGTTTATTTGAGTTGATTAAAGAACACAACCAACATAAAAGCCATTAAAACTTAAAATCTTAATTTTGAGAGATGTTGGTATACGCTACAATTTCTAACGCTTAGCGTTATATGAACTGTTATTAATGTATTCGTATATTACTAAGCCTTTGAAGCAGAAATAGAATTAAAAGAATATTTGTATAATCGTTAGTTTTATATTTTTGTCGATATCTTGAATTCGAGAATCAAAACATTTAATATCATCACACATACTTTTTTTTTTGTATGTGCCAAAATTTATTGATTACGTTACGCAGCTTCAAACCACCGTAATTCTTATATAGCTCACCACTTTGCTATTAAAGAATTTAATTTTTCATTGGAATTTTAATTGTTGTATTTACTTAAATAACACAAATGTACTTGTCAATTGTAAAAAAGACATACTTAAATAACTTTTGTAATTTAAATTTTCGACTAATGAACAACTAATAAAAATATGAAAATGAGAATAATTTTTATAGACCACCTTTTATTTTCAAGAACTTCGTTCCAGTGCTACGTCGCAAAAACGTCCAATACACCAAATTATTTTTAAAAAAGGTAACTAGGCATAATTATGTTCTAAACCAGTTGAAATATGTATATACTATATCTGTGAGTTACTTAGATTATAAAATTTTGAACATGATTTACTTGAAAAAATTAATTGATGATATGAGTGCACAAATGATATTGAATGTTTTATAATTTTAATGCGTATTAGATGACTGATTTTCTTAATATTTGGTATAATGGGATGTGTTGTTAATATTTATAATACTTACATTCGTTTGTGTACTTACATACTATTGTACCATAGCCCTATTGAAAATAAATAAACATAATAAAATATGAATGTGATCGTGCGAACTGTAGTATATTGCTAGCTACATAATATAGTTACAGATAAAACATTTATGATAAACCTATACAAAAAATATTATAAAGTATTGATACAAAATGTGAAAACTAATAAATATTCATAGCATGTATTCTTTAATAATAGTTAATAAAAGTTCAATTTAATATTGTGTACTTACTAATAATTTTGATGACTCAAGCGTTTAAAAATGTGGAGTTATAGAGTAAGCAAAAAAAAAAATTTGAAATTTCTTTGGATATAACAAGTGGAGTCTGTTTTTTTTTTTTTTGAATAATTCATTTAAGATCGTAGGTATTAAGATTTGTAATTTCGTTTTGTAATTATATTTAATGCAAGAGCCGCCAAAGAAATATGGTTGAAAATGTGCATAGAAACTTTTTTTAAATCTGTTTGAAAACTAATGTAATATAAAATAAGAACTAATGTAATTTTTAAAGTATGAGGATTTTTTCCAATTGAATTTTCAAAAATGAATGAAATATGTACACATCCATGTATAAAGTAAATATAAATGACAATTTTATTTCCTTATTTTATTATTCTTCCGAATTCACATTATGTATGTACATATATGTATAATACACATATTATAAGTATGTATAATCCTTTGGTTCGGAACGAATACTTTATTTAATACATATTTAAATATATGTACTTCATTATGTTCTTAACATAAAAGAAGCTATGATGTCACCTTCCACAAAAAAAAATTGAAAATTATCAGGAACAATTACGTACAAATATTGCTTTAGATCACTAATAAGAAATCAGTTTCTGCTCTTTCAAACACTGTTTTTAAATACCATTAAACTAGAAAATTAAACTAGATACTTAAATGATTTCAATATTTTTTTAAATTTGTTAGAAATTATTTAAAAACGTTCATTGAACGTGTGAAAATAATTAAAATTTTTAATAAATTTGAATGTACTTATTTTTATTTATCATATTATAAAGATATAAATTTTACATAATACCTTCTTCTTATGTACTTATATACGAAAATAGATGTATGCATATATGTAGTTATTTCATAATATGTATTGCGTCATATTTTATATCGTTTTTGATTTTTTGCGCTTTTTTGTAAATTGTTGAGCTAAATGTTATCACTAATCCGAAGTCACGATTGACAGAGGATTTATTTATACAAATAGATTGCGGTCGCTTGGATCGACAACAGAAAATTTTACAAAGAAAAATTAGTAGCTTTATGGTGGCGAATTCGGAAAAATTATGGTAAATCCTCACATAGAGCCAATCACATAGTTGAAGTGATTGACGAATGATAACATGTTATCAAAGCAAACCCCCAGGACCTTAAGTGAATCAACCCTACTAATATTTTGTGCATTTAATGTATGTATGTATAATCCCAAATCATTGGCTGTCTTTTTCTGGCATAACACACGAGTGCTCACTTACTGACGTGCATTTTCAAATTATTACTAGTGCACCATCTGTAAAACTATTAAGATGACCTTGTACAACGTCATTAACAGCGAAGATGAAGAACATTGAACCCAGATGGGCCGCCATGGGAAACCCCAGAACACAAGTGATGATACTGATGAGCTTCCAGAGAGACAAAAGCAAACGTAACTTATCAAAAGAATTACGTCATTTGGTAAAACGACAAAGGCTTTGCTAAAATCAGTATAAATCGCACCCGTCTGACACTCATCTCCTATGTTATTTCAAAATATACCGTGCTGAAACTTACCGATAAACGGAATGCAATGCAAGTAAATGCTATCATACAGCATTAGATCAAAAACCTTTGAAATAGGGCCGAATGTTTAGCAAACGAATAATAGTTTACCACATCACTTTTATTGTCTTTCTTGTGAATTGGTCTAATTAAACCTTCCTTCCCAAACTAAAATTTGAAAGTACATCATCTGTAAAACTAGAGAAGATACAATAACTTCCAACAGGTATTATGTATATAAATATAACTTTAACAGTTATTGTATGTCGAATATAATTCAAATTTACTTCAAATAGAAGAGTACGAACGAACAAAGAGTTTTTAACTACAATAAGTACACTACCGATTTTGGGAGTATGTTTCCGAGAGACGGTCTCGTAACGGCCTCCTCTAAATATGGAAAAAGTTGGCCCAAATAACTCATGTTTATTAACAGAAGGAGTGAACCATTTTTCCATTAGAGCAAAGACGTCACTATCCATTATAGAAGAATTGAACAGCACAACACTGGTTTCAATACTAAGGCCTCGAACATTTTGATAGTAAATTGAAACATTACTTAAAATTATTGGAATGCTTCCGATACTAGACGGATGAACTGATATCTAATTATTTTGAAGTGTTTTTACAGATTTAATAACATATGGAACAACAATTGAAAGAACTTGAGGGAGAAAAAAAATTATAGTTCGACTCTCTCTTTCTCTGCTGGTAGTTCCACTTACTCCTCATGTGGTCACGAAATGTTCCAATTTCCCGAGCTACCTCATGAGACGATCACATATTTAACGTCTCATAATACCTCTTAAAATTATTCAGTAACTGCGAGTAAATCGCAGGAAAACCTTCACCCTCCAAAAAAACTTTTAAATTGAGAAAACTTGAATTTTGAAAAACAAATACATTTTTTATCGTTTTACGAGTATCCTAAACTAAAAATTTTAAAAAGTAAACAATTTTAAAAAGAGCCAGATTTGAAGGACTTGCAAAAACAAAAATTGTTCCAATTTACGAAAAATATGCTGTAAAACTAGTAATAAAACGATATAGTGGGTTTGAGTATCTTAATTAACAGTTTCTGTATTTCAACATCAAATTATGACTATAAATTTTGACAAATTTACAGTTCGCAAAATAAAGGCCCAAAAAGAATTTATACATTATGTACATGTATATGTAGGTCTGTTGTTTCCATTCATATACATACATATGTCGTTATTATATCTCATGAGGTATAGTTTTTATAATTTACTTTACAACGCTGTTTTGTTCTATAAATTGTATTTTATGTACTTATAACATACTAAAAAATTGGTATTGGCTATGAAAGTAGATGTATTAACATTAGGTATCAAAGTAGATACAATGTGAAATTAAAAATAAAATAAATATTTATTTAGTCTTTTACATTATCTTTAATGCATACCTACATATACATATGTATCTAGCTAATACCTAATACATAAATATTATTTAAGTAAATAATTTTGAAATGTTCAGAACTCCACGTACCTCTTTTGAACTTTTTATACATTTTTTCTTGCAGTTCCACATATGAAAATTTCTTAAAATAATTTAATTTATATATGTACATACATATACATTTTTCGTTACAGTTAAATAAGCCATCATTATGAATGAAGTAGCCATAAATATTCTTGTCACATTGTTAACCAGTTATATTTTCCCAACAGCTTTTGCTGGTGATTGTGGTTCAAATTTTAAAGCTAAGTGCACATGTGGGGAAATGCCATATGATGGAATTCTTCAGTATGTCGGTAAAAAATTTATTATTATTTTAATGTTTCCCTTTTTTTAATTTCATTTTTATTAATACTTTCAGTTAATTGCACCAATGCTGGATTCACGAATACAAATATTTTAGAATCTATGCCGAATGAAACCCAAATTTTAATTTTTTCTGGAAATCGAATAGATGAGTTACCATGGAATGTTTTCGGAACAATTAATAAATATTATAAACTAACAGTTGTTGATATGAGTAATAATCATATAAGGGAAATCAGAGGAAAAGCGTATCATCATGTTCAAAACGTAAAACGTTTAATTTTAGATCATAATAATTTAAGTATATCAAGAGATGACGATGATGTTAACCACCACCATCCAAGGGTTTTCTCAAATTTTATTAATTTAGAAGCATTACATTTAACTGACGCCTTTGCTGACAATAGCCCGCCAGAATTAAGTGAAGACCTTCATGATATATTTTTTCAAAGTAATTTAACGAAGTTGAGGAAACTTCATTTAGAACAAAATGAAATATCAACATTTAAGGATCGTAAAGTATTTTGTGACTTGATTAACTTAAATGATTTATATTTAGGCGATAATTGGTTACAAGAAATTAATTTTGATGTAAAATGTTTAAAAAAATTGCGCTTTTTAGATTTAGAACGAAATAAATTTGAGTACTTAAAACCAAAAGATTTAAAATTACTTGACGAGCTAGAAGAAAATTCAAGAATGGAAAGGTCAATCGATTTAATTGTTGATTTTAAACTTAATCCATTTGTATGTGACTGTAAGATTCATCAATTTCACAAATGGCTAAATTTAACAAAAGTGAATGTAAGAGAAAAAGAAAAATTGGTGTGCCTGAAAGATGGTCGAAATTTAGAACGAATAAGTCAAATTCAATACGATAAATGTATAACTAAAACAAAATCCGACCACACAATTTTATTAATTTTTCTATTAACAGCTCTTAGTATAATTTTGGTAGGATTACTTTCAGCACTTGCATATCTAAGCCGTGATAAAATTCGTCATGCGATGTTTCCAGTTCTAGATACTATGTCAAAAAAAGTACAGTATACCACTATTAAAGATGATGATTGTCCAGAGGTTCATGTGTAGGTTTCATGGATTGGTCTAAAATATTAAGTCAATATAAATTCAAAGCATAAAAAGTTTATGTTATATAAACAATAATCAGAAATATTTTTTTAACAACTCAAAATTAAGTGTTATATCAAATATTTTTTCGCTTAAACAAAAAAAAATTGAACCGCCCATTATGTTATTTTAATAAAATTTTTAAATTAATTACTAACAAAACATAAGTTTAAGGAAGTTATGTATGTTATGTAATGTAAATATCTGTGATCTACATTTTAAAAAAGTAATTTGTACATTTTTTTAAATAAAATTTTTGTTATTAACGCTTTTTAAATATTTATTAGATTATAAGCTATTCATTAATTTCCTAAGATTTCATAATTTTGAATAAAGTAAAGAACTTTCTTTTAAAAATTTGTGTTATTTACATAAAAATGGTTAGCACGCGTGTACTAATCATGTACATACATACATTATGTGTAATTTTAACATTCAAAAATTGTTTCTATTTCAAATTAATCAAATACAGAAAATCCACGTAGAAGTACTCACTGGAGATCCTAGCTGAGGAATCAAATATAGTTCCGTTTAAAGCCACTATAGAGGCAATAGCAAAAGCGTAGACTCTAAAAAAGCAATAATTGAGAAATTTATGTATATATTTACCCTCCACATTGATTGAAACCATGGATGTGTTATGCAATTTAATTTCCACTCTTTCTTTTTAATTAAGAAAGTACAACTTCAATTATGTACATACTATTATATAGATGTGTTATTCCTTTTTGTTTTGTTTTCAGAAAGTACATAAGATAATCATTCAAGTCATCCACCTACTTTTTTTCTAGAATGTATGAAGCTAAACTGATTGAATATTAAACTGCAAACGTTTTTATCGAAATATGTCTTTTGAGTTTATATTTTTGTTATCCGCGATGTTTTAAGTTATAAAATGACATTTTACTGTTAAACCACAAATTCTTATGAAGGTACTGCAAGCCAAACTGGACTTTCACTACCGTTCATCTTCGATCAAGTTATTTCATATTAGTGTAAAATTTGCTTTTTTATAAAAATTAGCACATTTTTTCTAATTTTTTTATTAATACTTTAAGCACATAAATCAGAATCTTTATATTTTATCTTTAAAATAAATATATAAAAAGGCTCTTTAAGGAAACAGTAAAAAATTATTCTTTTTATTTAAAAAATATAAATTGTAATTGATTTTGCTAATACGTTAGCATGTTTTAAATTAACTTGGATGATCACAAAACATTCACCCTTCACACTTATGACATTCTGAAAAATATTTGAAATTGAGTATTTTTTGTTCAATTTAAAAAGATAATATCTCTTACGATTCAATTAATGTTGCTCTTAATTTTGTTGATATATTAGTTGGTTGACCTTGATTTAGTTTGAAAATATTTTCTATTACTGAGATTTCTGTGGCTGTTGTACTCATTCCGACAAATGATGTCCAATCATTTACCACCATTCCAGCTGCCAAAACCTCACTTCCACGGTTTACAGTTCCAGCAACTAATGGAACTTGTAAGAGCGTTGCAAGCTCGTCTTGATCTTGTATCGTCGTATTGGGATGAACTAATCCTCCTTGATTACTCAAAACAGTATATGAACCAATTAAAGCATTTCCTGCTATTGTTTGTCTAAAAACTTCCACATTTAAAGTGTCCCCAATTATTTCTTCTGTCTCCTGTAATTAGATGGATAAATGAAAAATTTATATAAATAATTTAATTTTAATCCTTGCCTTATCTAAATCTGGATGAACTAGAGCAACATAATCATTAGTAGCAATAACGTTTCCAAGAGCTGACAAGCGTTCTTCCACTCTTTGGACCTTTACTTCATCCGGTAAACTATTACGAATATGTTGTAATTCTACGTCGGTTGTAGAATTTGGAACTAAAAGCCCATGCCTGTTTCCTACCGATAAGCGGCCTATTATACGGCAGCCAGCAATACTAGCATGCACCACTGGAATAGTTTCTGCTAATTCCGCTTCAAAAACACTAAAAAATTTCAGAAACAATTTTTTAAAAATTTAACACGTGCGATTATATGTATATGTATATATATGCATATCAAAATTCACGTACCTATAAAATGCTTCTGATCCACCAATTGCAACCAAACAATACGAATTTGTTAGCTTACTAAAAACTCCAATATCATCGTTGTTTTCAAATTGCACTCTTAAAGCCATTATAGAGTCAAATTTAACTTTCAAATAATTAATCAATAACAATCAAATTTCACAAGTTTTGTTAAATGAATGAAGAATCAAGAATGAACAATTGCTTTTTATCACAAACTTTCAGTTCGTCATGTCACATTTTTCTAATGTCAAAGTAATTTTTAATATTTTAAAGCAATGCCACAAGATTTAAATTTTGAATTACATATTAGAGTATGGTGAATAGTTTGGGCTAAGATTGTGAATAGAGAAGCATTATATGTATTTAGTTATTATAAAAAAAGTAGCAATAATAAATTTGGTCGGCAAGGGGAATGAAATGAATGCCAGCCATTTTTGCAAAGTAGTCCTGTAAAGATATGTAGGTATTTATAACCAAAGAGTATTTGTTGTCAAAAAAAACGATCATTCTTATTTTTTATAAATAGAAATATGTGACACATACATGAGTATTAGTGGTCAATGGCTTTGGGTAATAAACATTTATGCTCGCTGTCTTTTTTGGCTAAAGATTGCATTTGTAAACTACAAATATATGATCTAATTTAATTTCCATTGGTGTAGGATTTCCATCTGACTCAATTTTTCTACCTGCTCATTCTTTCTTTAAGAAATGACAGAATTTTTGACGTTGTCAAAAATAATACAGTTATTTTTTAATTTTGTTATTTTAAATCTAGTCTCGAAGCTAATTATTTTTTTAAAAGTATCTAACAACAAATTCTGTTCTTTTATTTCATTTTTAACTATGAAAGTGTAACAAATTTTTTATCTGCTTTTTTATTTTTGTTTTAGTAGGAAGTACAACTTTAAAATTCAAATTCTTCTAAGCTTCATACGATGGTATCGTATGAATTGTCCACTTAGTTTTATCAAATAACATTTTTTTTCTTGTCACGTAAGTATTAGGTAGTAACTGTCATCACGGTAATTTTTAACCTCAAATTTAAAATGGGTAACTCTTGCAAAAAAAGAAAAATGTTCTCCTCTTCTTCTTAATAAAATTTTAAAAAAAATTTCTTTTTTCCTTGTTTTTAATTAGAAATAATATATTATAAAACATATACTTTTTGTATGTTAGGGTACTCAAGTTTTATAATAATTAATTTTAAAATTCTTTTGAAATAGTTTGAAAAAAAAACCATAAGCAATTTTTAAAAAGGGCTATTTTTACCCCAGATATCATTCAGTTAACGGTTAAATCTCTTCAAATTTAAAGTAGCAATATGTTTCAATTGTATCTTATATCAACATTATATCATGTACATTACCCTATCTCTGAATATTAGTATAGTTTACCGTTATTTTAAATGTCATATTTAATTGTAACTTTGACATAAATTTTATTTACAAGTAACTATGCTTTTTATTATAAGTTTGAAATCGATGAAGCGAGGCAAATTAAAACACAAAAAGTAAGTTTTTTACATATTTATTTAGCAATTACGTAATTTAATATTATATCATAAATTGCTTTATACATAGACATATATATATATAAAATTGATAGTTATTTCAAACATTAGAAATTCGTTGGATAATATTTAAGAGGCGTATTCTATAGTCGGATGAGCTTCACTTGTTCTACAATGACAGGAAGAAAATATATTAATATTTGAATATGGCAATAATCTATAATTTTCAGTAATCTTGTTTGGCGTAAAAAATTTTGTTGACTGTTGCAAAACATTTGTATACACCTAAAATAAAATAAAAATAAAATAAAATAAAAAAATTAAGCGGTTTAATGCATCAGCTTCCTTAAAAGTGAGAAAAGAAAAGTGTCTTACCTTACCACAGTCTATGACGTTACAAAATAGAAAGCCAATATTTGAATAAACCTTTTTGTTACAATCCCTTCTTTTCAAATTTTTATTTTCTTCTAGACTTGGTATTGTATTTTACAGTGGAGTTTTAAATATTATCAATTTTTAATTTATCAGATATGTATTTAAATATTATTAATTCTTATAACTTCCTAACTATGAGTCCTACCATGAGTTCCGTTCGTAGTGCCGAAATTTGGAAAATCTCAAATGTCATATTATCAGTTCCGAATTACTAAAATTTAGCTCCGAATGTTCCTAATAGAGTAATCATGAATAATCAGTATTAATCACACAAATACAGTTATCAAACGTAACAGGCAATATAAAGAGGACGGTAATTTTAAATTTTTAAGTTTTGAATTTTTTTTTGAGTTAGTGTTCCTCTAACACAGCAACTAAGAAGTAATTTTATATTTGCGAAAAAAATTTTTTCACTTTTCAAAAATATTCAAAAATAGCTATGCTAGGTTCTTAATTCGTAGAATTCTATGAGTTGAATTCATGATATGTGTATTTGTAAATAATTTTAGTAAATTAAACATACATGTTATGTAATACAGGTTGATCAGAGAAAGTAGAAATTTATTGCATTCTTTCGTTACAAAAATCCTTAATTTTATATATAAAAGTTGTTGCAAATAAAAATTATTTATATTCAATAGGAAAACACATAAAAAATTAATTAATTGTATAAATACAACAGATTTGGCACTGGAATAATATTACAACATCATTAATAATATAATTAAAAAATGAACAAATATTGTTATTTTAATAATGTAGATTAGAGCGTTTTCTTAAATTTAATGTTATTTTAATATTAAAATAATTTTTATATACTATATTCAAAACTATAATAGTTAAACTAAAGAAGACAACTAAGCAGTACATGTTCGATATTTTTCAGCTCTTCTACTAACAGTTTCAAAATATCCTTTCATCTGTTCATTGAGAATCTGAATTGCCTCTTTGAGTAATTGTAATTGTTTCTCCTTATTTACATATGTGCTGTTCATTCCTGAATATTAGTAATTACATTTATTTATTTTTGTGGTTTATGTACTTATAATCTTTCATATTACCTTCTAATTCTTTGATTTTTTCATTTGTATCAACAGTCAATTTTGACGCACGCTGGAGTAAATTTTGCGCTCGTTCTCGGGCCACTTCTGAGGAATTAGCTCTTTCCGATAGAGAAGAGCTTGCTGATTGAAATTTGTTTTTTAACTAAAAACAATTTTTAATGTTTAAATTTGATTAAAAAATAATACATTGGTAAGCAAAAGTTATAACATCATATAAAATTTAAATAAACTTATAGCTAGCTATATCCTTAAAAATTGAGTGAATTATTGTATAACGCGAGAGCTATTATAGTTTTAGTAATGTAGGTTTAGTATTTTTGAAAATAAGTACTATAAAAGAAAAAAAAATAAAATTTAAAAATTAAGATATTATGCAATCTTCGAATTTTTTTTATTAACTAGACATTGAAAATTATTGTAGTGAAATAATGTAATAAAACGAAAGAATAAAGATTTCCTAAGCCAAATTAATGCTAGGCTAAAAAATGTATCGGATTTTTAAATTATTTGCACTTATATAGTCAACTTAAAAGATAATTAAGTTTTTTTTTAATTTTTATCGTCGCGCGTTCCACTTTTTCTGTGGTATCTCATGGTTTGATGAATTTCAATATATCTACGTAAATACCAATATGGATTTGGAAACATTTTTTTTAAATAACAAATTTAAAAGTTTTAACGTAGTAATAAATTTTCCAATATTTTACAGTACAATATTTTTTGGGAATACAAATAAGAAAATTTACTTAAATATGTATGTAAATTGAAAATTTACTAAGAAAAATTTTTAATCTTACAATCTATAAAGATTGTAAGATTAAAAATTTTTAATTTCTATACAAGCAAATTACTATATATAAGCTATTTATATATTGAAGTAAATAACTTATATACCAATGAAATTATTATTTATAATTTTTGTTTAATACTCGTATTTTATTTTATAGTTTTGTTTCATATTTTAACACTTACTTGAGATGCGGATTCATGTGCATCAGTCGCTAATTGTTTTACTTTATCAGCTTGTCTTTTAATCTCCAATGCAAGAATTTCATTTTCAGTGGCACGTTTTCTTAATCGATCGACTAAGTCTGCAAGGCTCTCCACTTTTTCTGCGGTTATTCGAGCAGGTTCATGAGCAGCATTCGTTTCGCTATCGATCTAAAAGCATCAACACTTTAGTATTATAATTTTTTTTATACTTAGTTGCAATTACCTTTTCCAAATCTTCTTTAGCTGAAAGAATATCGCTATTCGCCTTTTTTATGGCAGCCTGAGCTTTTTCTTGCGCTGTATCTGCATCTTCAAGTGCTTTAACAACTGAATTTGCTGTATTCAAAATTTCATCTGCTTTGGTCTTTGTATTATTGGCTTTCTCTTTTAAACGTTCAACTTTATATAAATCATGACGAGTATTTTCGATTATTGTTTCAACATCTTTTAAAGATGCTACAGCTTCATTAATTTTTTTCCCTAATTTACTAATTTCTTCAGGTTCTAGTTGTAAATCAAGATTAATTGTTTTTTCCGCTAATTCTTCAATTGATTCCGGTGATGCTGTTTGATTATTTATAATGTTATTTAAATCGTTGACTAATTCATCTCCAGTAGCTATCATTTTATTTGTTCGATTTAAATAACGTTCAGCTTCTTCAAAAGCTTCACTGGCTTTTATATAAGCTTCGGATGCATTTTGTTTAGCTTGCGCTAGAGAACGAATTATGATTTCGGCATCCTCTTTTTTTTTCATTATGTTCTGCTCAACATCTTTAGCAATTTTTAAAGCTTTATCTGCGCGAGTTAGGGCACCATTTTCACACGATATTCCACCACACTGATTACAACCTGCTCCACCACAAACAGAATCACAAGGGTTGCCGCGTTTATCACACACATTACTATTTAAATCTGGAATGGCTTCATTAAGTCCAACCAACTGAACTTGATATTCATCAATGGCATCATTATTTTTTTGTAACATTGCTTCAAACTCATCTTTGTTGCGATTGACCCAAGTCTCTGTACGTTTACATTGGCGCTCAGCATTTTCACTTTCTTCTTGCGCTTGAACTCGTATTGGGCCTAATTCTGTTACTCTACGCATCGCATTTTGTGTTAAATTAAGTGCGCCTTCAATATTAGTTTCCTGTAATTGAATACCATTTTCTTTGAGCTCACTCGATTTTGCTTTGATTTCTTCTCTTTGATTACGTAATTTTTCCAATTTTAATTCAATTTGTTGTGGCAATTCAACATAAACACGGCTTAAATTTTGTTCACTTTCCTGGAGTTCTTCCTTTGACTTTTGTAATCGATCTCGAAGTGTAGTTATTCTGTTATCTAATTTCTCAATGTCTGTTAGACTGACAGTTGTATTGTCGAGAAGTTGTTGAACAGTTTTCAGTTTATTGTCCATTGAAGTAAAATCAGCAGAATAAGCGCCTGTTGCACCAATTGTTTTTATTTGTTTAGCCCTTTCTATTGTTGTTTTTGTTTCATCTTCCAATGATCTTAGGATGTCATCCCAATTGTCAAAACATTCTCCACAAGGTTTACAATACGGTGCTTCTCCTAAGTAGCCGCGTGCACAGACGTCGCATTTATATCCTCCTATTCCTGGATGACAAACACATTCTCCTGTTTCACGATTACATTGTGCATTTGCAGAGCCATATACATCGCAGTTACATTCTGTATAACAACAAATAGTAGTTTAAGACAATTAGAATAAAAACCTAAAAATAAAATTTCACCATGGCATTTAATATTTGGATCACCCCAATAAAAGGCTTGACATTGATCACATTTTCTACCACCAAAACCAGGTTTACATTGACATTGACCTTCATACTATAAAATTAAATATTTGAAACAAAATTTTAAATACTGAATTTTCAATTTTCCACAAATTACTGGATGGCATTGTTCGGATTCTGAACCTATAGGATCACAATCACAAGGTTCACAGCCTTCACCACTTGCTATTTTCCAGTGGTTGGGAATACATTCATCGCAACGAATTCCACGAACATTCATTAAACAAGGGCATTGACCAGTAACTCGGTCGCAGTGTTGGATTGTTCCATTTGTTCCCAAAATATTACATTCACAAACTGAAAAAATTAACATACAGTTAAAATATAGAGTTTAGATAAATAAATAAGGGTTTACTTCGACAGTTTTGCAACAAAGCATCTCCATAATATCCATCGCGGCAATGTTCGCAATTATCTCCAGTAGTATCATATAAACATTTCAAACATTTACCAGTTTTGCCATCACAATTTCCAGTGTCGCTAGGATTGACGTTGTTGTTGCAGTTACATTCTTCACATGAACCTCCAGGTGTTTCTGGATTACCAAAATAGTTATCATCACAAACATCACATCGTGCCCCAGAATATCCTTGCTTGCAGTGACATATCATATCATTGTTTCTCCGATCTAATTCACATATTTCAGCATGAGAGTGACCAGACATAACAGTATCTGGACATCTACATGGCCGACAACCAATTTCGTTTCCAAGCAGTGGATTCCCATAATAACCTTTGAGACAAAGCTCACAGTTATAGCCTGTTGTGAAGTCCATGCAATTCAAGCATTGTCCTGTTTTAGAATCACACAGTTGGGCATGTCCATTACATTGGCACATTTGACAATTAGGGAAATTCCAAAATCCTGGTTGACATTGGTCACACTCTCGGCCATATGTGTTGGGATGACATTTGCATTGACCAGTTATTAAATCACATGCATTATCTTTAGATCCAATGCTATTGCAATCGCAAGCTTTAAGAGAAATCAAAAATTATAATTATAAATGTGGTAAACAAGAAAAGAACTTGTAAAGGTTACCTGTACAACCTTCGGGCCCAAAACCGTACGTGGATGGCGCGCACATATCACATTTTCTTCCAACCACATTTGGTTTACATGGACAATGGCCCCCGAAAAGTTCACAATGCTTACTTTTTGATCCCGTTGGGTGACATTCGCATGCTTCAAAATTATAATTTTTATGAATATTATGTATACATGTATATTTTCTATGAATATCGTATTGAATTTGCATTTAGCTTACATGTTGCACCATCGTAAACGTATGTACTAACGGTGTTGAATAAATCCTTGCATTGCTCGTAGCTATGACCTTCAAAGTTAACGTCGTAGTAAGTTTGGTTGCAATTGTAATGGTCGTATTCTCTTCTCCTATTTTCTGCTGGAGCATCACCATGAAATACGGGCGTTACTTCAATACGAGGGACGAGTGTGAGCTGCAGGTTTTGTATAAAAATTTATTAGAATCATGTTTCTTTTAAATTATTCATTAAATTTAATATTACTGAATCAATCATAATTTGCGCAGCTGGATTATCTTCTCCACGGCGCTGTCGTTCAAAATAAAGTCTAAATTTGTAAACTTTTCCTTTTTCTAAACAAATATCTTTAAGTGATACAACATATCTTTGATCTTCAGGAAGATAAAATGGTACGTCTTGTTCTAATGATGGGTGGGAGTTGGCACATTCGTTATTTGGATCATATTCGTCAGGTCTTACAATGGTAATTTTAGCATCTTCCCAATCGTTTCTTGAAGTTGTCATATATCGAACGACTACATCGTATGTCATTGTTCTTGGGATGTTATCAGCAGTTATTTCCAATTCACTTTTTTCAGGCAATCTTTGATAACCAGGTCCTGTCCACTCTGGTTCTCTGTCATCAGGCTTTTGGTAAGGCACTAAGGTACAGTTCTACAATGTTTATTTAAAAGTATTAGTAAATATTTTTTAAGTAATTCAATGAAACTTACACCATAAGGCGAATAAGAAATACATTCAGTTATTTCCTTAATTTCTGCATCATAAACAACATGTAGTGATGGAACATAATGTAACTGTATGGGTGTATCACAAGTTAATCCCGTCATATGTGGTCTGCAACGACATTGACCCGATATAACATCACAATAATTGTCATAAGAGCCACCTGGATCGCAGTTGCACGGTTTACATCCATCAGTATTTTGTGCAGATAATCCGTATGTTTCCAATAAACATTGGTTGCAATCCCTTCCGGTAACAAAACGTTTGCAAGTACATTCACCCGTATACATATTGCAGCCAGTATTATCGACAGTACCATCGGTGTTGCATGTGCAGTTTTGGCAACCCAATATGTTATCAGCATTAAGATTCCAAGTACCCTCCTTACAGATGTCGCAACGACGTCCTTTCACGTTTTCCTTACAGTGACACGCTCCGGCCTCTATACCATTTTCAGGATCACTAGTCGAATCACAAATTCCTTCATCTTTTGAACCATCTGGATTGCAGTTGCATTGCTTACACACGTGCTCACTGGTTAGTGGTACATTTGGATCTTTGTAAAAGAATGGAATACATTCTTCACAATGTTGGCCCTGGGTATTATGTTGGCAGTTGTCACATACACCTCCACTAACTCGACCGGAGTGTTCATATACTGCTTCATCAAAATGACAACTGGTCGCATGGTTATTACAATTACATTGTTTACAAGCATTTTTCTGTTTTCCTAAAGCTGGCTTCCATGGTAAATCATTATAAAAATCTTTGCATTGTTCACAATTTAATCCTGTAGTGTTATGTGTACATTCACATCGACCATGTACCATATCATAAACATCACTTGTACTACCATCTAGGGGTAGACACCGAGATGCATGTCCATAACAAGAACATGATCCACGAACCACCATATTTCTAATGGCATAATAATATTTTTCTTGTATTTCTTGACGATCGTCTAATAAAGTATCACCAAGATTATGTAATTTTGTGAAATTAATACGGAAATTTGTCATTTTAAGCATATTTTGTACGTGTAAAGCATATGGATTTTCTACTTTTACATTAGGTGGTAATACTCGGAAAATTACTTCACCGTCTCTTGATGGTTCGACGTTGGAATAACGTTCCTCACATATTACATCTGTAATGTTTCTTAAAACTGTTGGTACTCCTGGAAACGACGTTTCACAATTATGTGCAAAATAACGATAGACATGCCATGTTTTTCCAAAATCGTATGAACGTTCTATTAACATTGCTGCTGGACGAAAAGTGGCAAAAACGATAATAACATGCGTAAAGTGAAATTCAGCTTCAAGATCCAATTGGATTGTGACATTTTCTTTTCCATTTTCTGATTGCCACCATGTATTGTTCAGAGTTCTTGAATCATACAATACAATATAAATAGACAATTACACTTTAATTTATAAACACTTGTAAATTAATCTTACCCTGCTTTCGTTGCGTAAATAATATTGCCAATACGATGATTTCTTAATGGATTATCTTTAGTTTCTTCACGTGTATCACACAGAAAACATTTTTTTTCTTCCAAATGTGACACAATACAGAATCTTTCAGCTCCTCGCAGACCACACGTTGATGAGGCATACAAGCGATTTTCCCTACCAATTAATAAATTTCCAGTAGCTGGATAACATGAACTATGCTCACAGGGATGCACTCTAGGATACGCTAAATCATAAAAAAATAATTAATTCTAAATTTGAAAGCAAAAATATTGTAATATTTATTTTGAATATTGTAAATTTTTAGGGGTTTTAGGAATAATGTTATTTTAACACATACGAAAATTTCTTGCAGCAGTTTTAATTTTTCTTTAATTTTTCTAAAATAATTTGATTGACGTATGTTAATAAATAATTTCAAATAATTGATTATTAGTACAATTTTACAAAATATTCAATATAAATTATTATATTGAACATTAAATATAAAACAGTGTCAGTAAAAAAAATATTTGAAGCATACAATGAAATATAAGGGATTTGTTAAGGTAATTTATGAAAAATCTTACAGGAAAGGAGAGTATTAGTGGTAAAAGCTAAAAACTTGTAGACAGTGTGGCAAGCTGTTTTTAATAAAATAATTATAAACTTAATTTTTTTTTAATGTTAAGATTTCAAAAATCAAATCTCAAAATAAAAATACCGAAATTAATTATTCAAAGTCCATCCTTGAATACATGACGATACACCCTAGTTTTACAATTCAGTTATTGCAAAAAAGTTTCATGTAACTCCAAAAGATTTTTAGATGTTTTTTTCAAGATCATTATCACCCTTACAATTATTAGGTAAATTTCAATTAATTGATTTTGTTAATGTTAAAAGGAATAAGACTCACAACACACAGTATTCAAAAAGTTATCTTTTTGATGAGATATATTTCTTATGAAACTAAGATGTGGTAATACATGGAACATTTAGAAAATTTTTGACCTTTTTTTAAAGACTTATTAGTTATGAAAACTGAAAAATTTCAAAGTTAAGTACAAAGAGCAAGATCTGTTTTTTAATACATAAAAAGGAAGGGTTTAAAATCAAAGTTGAAGAATTTTATGTCCACATTTGAATTTTTTTATTCAATAAATTTTCTTACGACGTTCTTTTACTATCCTAAACTCAGACTTCTTTTTGAATGATGGATGATGAAAATATAAATTATTTTGCCGTTTGAAAGCAAACATTTTATCATAATGTGGCTCTTCATGAGAGCTTAATTTATTTTGTTCGAAAATACTTTTACGATTTTGAATTTCGTAAAAATCATAATCATATTCATCTTCGTCAGCCGGCGGGGTTTGATCGCCTCGTTGTACATCAGTAGTTTGAATGTATAATTGTTGAAAGTCATCATAAATATTGTCATTATTATTATAATGATGGTGATGATAATAATTTTTAGGAGAATAATATTTGATATTAGTGCTCATATTACTACTTGACTTAATAGTGGGCATTAACAAACTTTTACCATATTTAAAAGCTTTAAAATCAGAAAAAAAGTAAAATAAAAGTGATATATTACGAAAATGCAAAAATAATTGTTATTGTGTTATCATGTATGTGCGTACTGTAAATATACTATAACGTATTCACTTACTAGCTATTCGTATATAATATCATTTATACAGTTTTTATTTAAAATTAACTTATTTCTATAACATAATAAAAAACTTACTTCTAGCAAGAGGCCGCTGTGGAGGTGGACGTCGTCTATTCTGTGCATACGTTAAGTTAATTTCTGTAAAAACTTAGAATTTTTATTTAGAAAATATAATATATTTTACGTTTGCAAAAGCTATTTAGTATTGATGAACATAAAGTTGTTATTTAACATGTCAATGTTATTTTTTAATATATCGTACTTTAAACTCACCTAAAACTCAAGTAAAAAGTATTCAAAATTAAATTCTTAAAAATAGACAGTTTTAACTAGCAAACAACATTTGGTCTGGTAATTGAAATTATCTTATACAAAAACCTAAAGCGCGATTACACTTCAACTAATGAAATGTGAAACTGGAACCGTAAATCAGATTTAATTCTACGTTAATTGTTATGTCAAATGTTCTATGTTAATATTTTATTTCAAAAAATGTATATGTATGTAAATGTACCTGTATTATTCTAACCCTTTCGTTCAGTCATGTAAAAAGTAAAGAGCACTTTTCTTTCGGTAGGCGATACAAAAAAAAAAAATTGTAGTACTTTAAAAATATTTCAATAAAAGTTCACATTTAGCTTTCACTTGTTAAATAACATCTTTTTTATTTTTTTTAAATTATTTACAAAAAACTTATCTTACCTGCAAGCAGAAAAACTAAAACGCATATTGAAATGCCATATACTGATATTCGTAAGCTAAACATTGTGTGTTTTATGGACGTTATATAAAAACGTCCGCACACCTGCAAAAATGTAAACAAGAGTAAAAAAAAATATAAATTGGTATGGTTCTACAGGTTCATATTATTAAATCAAATTTTGAGTGAAAACTTTAGCATTCACTTTTATAAAATGCTTTAATTGTATAAATTTGTTGTTTTCTAGTTTTGTTTAATTATTTAAACTATAAGATGAGTTGAGAATCTATGCTAATGGTTTTAAAGTTAGATGACAGAATATTTATCACAATTTATCCTATGCTAATGAAGAAAATAATTTACTTTTTAACAAATCGGCTTTATAAATTTCTGAAAGCCTTCCCTAGAATTCTCAGAACCTTCCCAAATTTATATATCCATATGCAATTCCAGTTAACATATATTTAAGTTTTAAGGTTTTGTCGGAGCACAGAACTGTCTCTTAACATATTTGCTGTCTCTTAACAACAAACAATACAAATTTTTTAAACTTCTCCATATAGTTTTTGACTTAAAAACCAAACATTGCTGTACTGATCCTAATTTTATTCAAACTAAACAACTCTCACAATTTATCATCTCGTTAGTCTAAATATAGTGAACAAAAATTTCAGAGCCGTCCTAGTCATATGCAAATATTTAAAGAAACCTAATGATAACTTTTAAAATTTCATATGCATTAGACCGCGTTTATTTTAGTACACTTTCTACGTATTTATACCCTCTAGTTTGTTGTACTACTAAAATTGAACATTAATTAACTACAAAAATTTCAATTTGTCGGTCAAAATTGCATTTAAGCAGCAGTGATTATATTAAAAATTTTTTAAGTCGCTAAAAAAGATTAAAATTCGTAAATCTCATTTCAAACAATTCAAAATCAAAACCCAAAATTTTTGTAAAATTTTAGTGTCTATGTGTGTGTATAGTCACTACATAATGTACTTATATATGTACATATATATAGTTTTTTTTAGTCTAGGCTCAATATGGATTTTTCACTTTTAAGGAAGGAAAATTTTGAATTTCTGAAATATTAATTACAAAATAATAAAAAAAAATCGGTCTTGGTCTTACAAAAACAAAAAAAAAAAGAACAACAAAAATTAGAATTTTTTTTCTTACTTTTCTTGCCATTGAAAATTGGTAATTTTTTTTTAGCAGTATTGGCTTAATTTGTTGTTATTTAAATTGCGTTGATAAGATTGATCTTAATAAGTTATATTTTATGATTATCTTTCGATCATCCATCGAATATCAATTACTTCGGATTAGTTAAACAGCCAAGTCAACAATATACAAGGACTTTTAAATAGACTAAATTATCTTGTAAAATACTAAACACTGTTATGAAACCAATTGCGACTGGATATCGAACAATTCACTGAATGAGTAAGTAACTTCATGTGTAAGTTTATATTAATTATACATTTTCGTATTCTTAAGAAATTTTATTACAGCATGCGTTTCCAAATAATATCGCCTTTATCATTGTCTTATTCGTTACCGTCTGAACAAGTTGTAGGAATTTATTATGGACAAATATTTAAGATAAAAAAATTTCAGCCTTTACGTATAAAGGACACTTTGTTTAACACTGAATTTTTTAATTTTTAATGGAAAATTTTATTTTATTCCTCCTAAAGTGTTGTTTTTGTTTATTCATTTGTTTTGTTTTCAAGATCAATTTCCACTCTTGCTTTTCAAGATAAATTTTAATCTCTTCATTACTTTTTGAGGATCTGATATCCCTTATAATTTCACTTTTCTTGCAAATAGGTCTTATAATTAAAAAATTATTTTTCTATCACAAAATATTACTTTATTTTTGGAGCATAACTTTTGAAGATTGGAGAACTTTTTCCTCTAATTTGGGAGTCTGGGAAATGCCTGAGTGTGGAGAAACGTCTCCTGCGTATTAAAAAAAATTTCAAGGTCTTTAATTACGGAATTAACCTTTTTATAGAAAATTTTTGGCGCAATCTTTCTCCCACATGTTAAATCCAAAGAACTTATAGTTTTAAAACCTTAAAACATTACAGGCACGAAAAAATTTTTTATTAATAAAATTTTCCAAACATTTTCTATTACTTATAAAAAAAAAATCAAAAACAAAATTTTAAGAATGGGTTTTTAGTGTACAATTGAAACCAGAAGTAGAGGACCCCAGGCAATTGTATTTCCTAATAATGTAAATCTTCTGCTTATATCTTATAATCTTTATAATGTTAATCTTCTGTTTTTTTATGTCGTGAAGCAAACGCTTAATTCTCTATTTTCTCATATTAACTTTTGGAGTGCGAATATTTCCGGACTTTTCTATTTTGTATTTTTATATCACACAATAAGATATAAAACTTTCGTAAAAATAATACTGAAGTACAATACTATATTAGTACATACTAGTATAATATTTTTTACTTCACTAGTATATTGAGAACTCCTTGACTGTTACAGAGGAATCATAAATAATCTAGCAATTTTTGAGTATTTGATAAGTTTAAAGAAACAAAGCTTTTAAATGTTAAAAAGTTTTGAGATTAATCAACGCTTGAATGCGTTTTGATTAATTGAATTAACTATTGTGGCTTTTAACAGTAATCAACACAGTGGCGTTTATAGTTAAGATCTTAAATAAATTGGAAAAGTTTTTGAAAAGATTCTGCCCCTTGCGAGGAAGTGTAAAAATACCATATTTAGAGAGATGTATGTCAGTTTGTCTCTGCACTTCTGAATCTCAAGTTCCGCCAAACCGATTTTCATGAAAATTCATACTTATCTGAATTTATCTTAAAAATGGGACAGTCTGATCAACTCTAACAGACAATAATACAACAAGTCATCTAAATTTTTAAGAAAATCAGGTCATTGAGTCAGACTTACACAGAGAAATAAAACATTATACTTTTGCTCATGCACCGAGCAATAATCAACCAATTTTCTTGAAGCTTCACTTATCTGGTTAAAGCAATGAGCCAGTATTATTTTTGGGAACATCAGTGCTCGGAAGCAACAATGCTAATAAAGGGTGATCTTACATGTTTTATCACATGTCAGGAATGGATTGAAATTTAAGTTAAATTACCAAGTGTGTTTAATAAGTGTTAATAAATCAAAAACGCATTCATTTTTTAAAATAAAAATTTTTTTTTGCAATTTTTTTTGTCAGCTTAATTTTGAAGCTTAATAATGATTTATCCACGAAAATATCATTGACTCAGAACAAACCAAAATATTAGCAAGTATTAAACACATTGAGTAACTTTTTGAAGAAGTATTTTTTTTTATTTTTATTAAGCTTATATAGCTTTCTTGTGTTTTGATCCCTGGTGCAACAGAAACTTTGCAAAGTAATTAATTAGTTGATTTAAAGCAAACACGTTAAAAATTCTTCAAAATCTTTGTTTAAAGTAAAACAAAAAGTAGTTGGTACTTTTAGTATGAGCCGACTTTGCAGTTTTGACCATATCTACGGAATAAATTAGCATTATCCTTTAATATTAATATTTGAGTTGTGTTAATTAGTAAAATTAAATGAAAAAATTTTAATGGTAACTGAATCAGAGAAAGTGAGCCTCTACTAAAAACTGAATTTGCCTTTTTGGAAAAACATTAATTTGTGTAAAATTTAAAATAAGTGTTCAAAGGGCATTTGCACAATCTTATGCAACTCTTAAGAATTCGTCCAATGAATAAGGATCAATCAATAGGGATTTCTTATAACGTTACCCAAAAAGTATCCGTTGCGATCGGTTATGTGCTGACCACGTCAGATTTTCATAATTTAAAATTCAACATAATTTTAGAAAATTTAGCTTTGGGTAGTTTTTGTAATCACGAATGAAAATTTTTTGCAATTGAATTCTTATGAATGATTTCACAAAAATTATTTCTTTTGATATTCCCTTCCTTTTTGATAATTGTTTTTTTGTTTTATTGTTTTTTGAAGTAAGTATTGTATATAAGTAAGTAAATTTGTATGTACATATAAACATTAGTTTTTTTTGCTGTACAAAATGTGTTGCTGTGTATTTTCGTATTTAAATTAGTTTTTTTTTAATGTATGGTGGGTTTTAAAAGAACGGTTCATATTTCTCAATTGCAGTTTAAGCAGTTCTCATGCATATGTTTAAAAAAACTGAGTTCAACAAAAAACAAAATTCAAAAGAAAATTAGAATGAAAAATCTTCAGAAACGACCTTACAAATTCAATTTCATACGTAAGTATCCGATTTCTTTTTATTTTTCATAAACTTTTTGAAAACTAAATACATTTTTATGGATCATATATAGACCGAATCCAACTCTATACATACTTATGTTCAAATGTATAGTATTCGAATGTATTTTATTTATATTACGAATGAAAAAAAATACAAAAATGGGCGATTAATTTTTGTCTTTCTTAAACTAGAAACACGTGTTTAAAATTTTTATTAATGAAATCAAAAGAATGTTCGTTTTTTCTTTCTTAATTCGCTACTATAATACGAAAATAACAGCGTTTAAGATTTTTGATTTTCGTAATAAGGAGAACTGTACAACAATTCGTATTAAAGCTTGCTAACAGCAAAATCCTTCCTTCCATCTATAGTTAACATAGCTTTAAGTTTTTGAGAAATCTGAATAAGTTTTTAAAAATTAGAGATTTTTAGTTTAAAACTGCCTTTTCATCCTTCATGTAGTATGCGTCGTTAAAGACGCTAGGAAAGAAAATTCTCAATGTCTTTATTAATTGATTATCTGCCAGTACTCTCGTATTGCAAAAGCCTGAAAAATTTCAGAAATGGTAGACAATTCGTTTCCAACAATATTTCATTTTAGTTTTAAACTTATATTGAAAAAATATTTGAAAACATCATTCGGTAAACGTAATACTTTTGTTGCTCTGCAGCACCTCAAGATATTAGTTCATAATATACAATTACATCAAATAAAATAGACATTTTTAAACGCTGATTACTTATACTGATTTATAGTAATAATATCAGTTTAGATATTTAAAAGTTGAGATGTTATAGCGATAATAATGTTATAAATTAGAAATTTTGTTTTGATCCAACGTAGGTACCTACGTAAGAGCAGTATGCAATTTTTCTATTTTTAATGGAAATTGGATCTAATCAATAAAATTGAAAAGATTTCTTAATATTAACAAAGTAGGTTGGAACGAATTTCCTCGTTTCAAAACTAAATATCTTTATAAATATACACGTATAAAGTTAATGGTTTTGTCCACGCTCTTCTTGAATAAAAATAATTTGAACAAATTTTACTCACAAGTCTTGTTGTATTTTAAATATATAAATTAATCCACTAAGGAAAATTATCTTTATTCTGCAAAATATAATCCCAAAATATAAAGTATGTATAGACAAATATAATCCACAAGTAGTGTTTGAATTAAAGATGTCCTGATATTCTTATACATTTATTATATCAATCGCACATATTGGAGACCCATGAAAATATTCTTAATTATGAGATCATTTCTTTGTAATTAAGACACTTTACAATAAACACATTATTCTATATAAATTTCCGATTCTTTTATTCTTTATCACATTTTTCTCTTGTTATTTCCTTTATATATTTTATTATAAAAATTATAAAAAACAACAAATTTGAGTTGGTACATGAACATGCACATACATATGTACAAATATAACCATATGTATTTCTTTCTTCTGTACGCCATTATAAAACTAAAAATAATTTCAAAGCAAAACTGAATTTTTCATATTTAGTAAAATATAAACTTAAAAAACAAAATCTTAATGAAAAACAGACTTTCGAGCACAGAAAAAAAAACATTTTTGGATTCTATTAAACACCATCTTATGTTTAGAGATAAAATTAATGTATGTATGTACGTATATACATACAAAACCTTTAAAATTCTGAACAATTTCCGCACTTTTCTTATTTGTCAAAACTAAATTTATCTTGAGTATTCTTCAACTACTTTTCATTTTCAAAAATTATTGTTTTGCATTTAATAGGCAATTTATTTCAACTCAATAACTTTCGTCAATAATTTTAAATTTTTGGTTGATTTATGCAGGCACTTTTTTATTGCATATATATGTTAAATATTTATATATACATACATATATTTATAATTACATACAATTATTCTTTAAAACATATTAAATTAAGAATTTCACTCAAAATGATTTAATTTCTTTTTATTAATAAACTTATTAATGGATATAAAAAAAATTTCCAATATTTCATACCAAATAATTGCTTTCTTGTTTTAATAATTCAAACTATATATATTATTTTACATATAAATTTCTTCCACAGGGAAATGTACCACCCATGTATAAATATGCTTATATATAAATATTATCTATCTGTATATTAATATAGTTACATACATATATAAACTTATTTACACTATATTATGTTTTATATAAAATTTAAAAAGAAGCACAAAAAAAAAAAATTAATTTGATAATTCTTTTAAAATCAAGTCCCGTTTTGATTATCCGAAAGTAACTCTCAACAGCTCCAAGATCTTCCACTCTACTGATCACTCATCGATCGTACGTAGGGCGAACAAGTATTTGAGAAGAAGTTTAAAAAAGAACTCCTTTCCTTTTTCAGTTTTCACTCAAAATTTGCATGTAGTAGTTTAATTTTTGTATGTATATGTGGAGAAAAACTGAGCATTGCACTCTAAAATCTATGATTATGTTTGCAATGTATATCAATCTTTACATACTCGTATTATCATGCATCAGTTTCACTCATAAAGTACCGATGATAAGGAAATATACATATGTACATATGTTTTTAAAAAATGTGCAATATTATTTGCTATTCACTCAATATCTCTCATCTATAACACTCTTCATAGAAAGTTGTAAAATCCTGTCCTGTTACGAAAGTAAAAAGTACATTTACGATACATTTACGATACAGATTAGAACGGATCGCATTACTATTATTGAAAATATTAGTAGAATAACTATTGTGCTTTACCAATATTATATGCCTTGTACTATTAGTTTTTGTAATTTTTGATTTTAAGTATTTCTGAAGAGATTTTTTTAATTTATACACAGCAAACAGCATGCAATATACAACTACGAAAGAGTAGAACAATTTTTATGAGTTAATTGAAAAATAATGATAAAGAAAAGATATCACATTATGCTCAATTTTCTGTAGTGGTATCTGTAGTTCTCAAAAATTTACGTTTTAACTGAGTGATTTTAATGCTTTTCAGTAACAAAATATAATAAAATCAATGTGCATGTATGTATGTATATAACTGAAATCTTAAGTAGTATTGTAAGAAAAACATAAAAATGTTCATAAATTCATAGATTGTTTTCTCTCGCGGATACTTACTTTATATATGTGTGTATATTATATATACGTATAACAATTGAGACTAAAAGATGAGCGTAAAAAAGTGTTTTTCTATTAAGATACTGATAATAATGATAATAAAGGCACGTTCAAGAAATTGAATTCACTGAAATAACTAAATCTAAATTGTGAAATTTTTGGCTTTTGTAGGAAACTAGATGATCTTCCTAGTAGGAAAAAAATTTACATTTATAAAAAAATATAAAAAATGCTTTTATTGAAAAATAATGCCACATTTACAAAATCGGTTAAATCTGTAGTTTAATGAAAAATTATTAAAAAAACCGAAAATAGTTGAGCATTTCAATTTAAATTAACAAATCAAACAATATTATTCATACCGGCTATGTACACTTTTTTGTTTTTGAAAAAAAATTAGTTAAAAGAATTCTACAAGTACAGACAAATTAATAAAAATATTACAATATCGTAAAATAGTTTAGGACATACATATAAATGGTTTACGATAAATTTTATATAAGAGAGTATGAGTGAAATTTTCACCATAATTGCATAATGTATAGTGTATCAAATGTGGTAGCAAGAAAACAGTTATTAGACATAAAAAATTAAAAATACTCTGGTAGAACAAATTGAACAAATTTTCTATGATGTCATTATGATTACATATGTATATGTGAATATTGTTGAGCACATTTGTTTTAAAAAAAATGAAAAATTACCTTAAAGTGAATTATGTACACATTGTCAATATAATGTGAATCTTGAATTTCCTTTCGAAAAAATCTGATGTGATCAGTACATAACAAACAGCAATGTCTTATGTCTAGTTTAACGAAAGTATTACAGAAGATTATGAAAACGTCTTTTAAACACTTCTTTTAAATTTTAAGAACGCTGAAAAGCTTTTAGTAAACGTACCTAAAAAAATATCAATTTGGCTAAGTAGAGTTTCGTTTTGTGCAATCGGAATTCCCTGCACAGTTCGTCAGTTAGTTTCGGTAACAACTCAAGTATTAAATTTCAAAAAATTACGTCGATTGGTTCTAAAATCAGCCCTCTTTTCGTTTTCCTTACATCTTTCCAAAAAATTTGGGTTCGTTGTTTTACCATTTCAAATTAAAATATGTATTAAATTTCAAGAAAATGGCTTGATGTTTTTTATATGCGTTATTACATTACATTACATATTTAAGATTTTTGACAAAGTGATTGTGAAGCTCAGGGTAGCGTTATATACATAACTTATTTTAACGCTACACCGTACAGGCCTTAAACTTACATCTTATATAGTTAAAGGGAAATGTGCCATTTTAAAAACCATTTGATTTGATCGGCTACAATTTTGCTCTTGGAGACTATGTATATTGTACTTTTGCGAATTCGAGCTTACCATACTGCTCCTCTCCTCTCCCACAATTAAAAATCCAGGGTATTTTGAGCCAATGCTTTTTCAATTAAAATTATTTTATATAGATACACAAACGTTTCCATTTTTCTATTGCAAAACACTACATTGTTTTAGTCACAGAAATTGTTTGTACTATTCCTGCTTGAGATCATTTATAATAATATTATTATTAAAATATCAGTCTAATTTATGTGGAATGACAAAGAATGAAATAATACAACTAAAATTATGATGATCTTGAAGTAATATAATTTTATGGTTAATTTCTGCTGTGTATATAGTTGCATATTACAAATTTTCATATGAGTTAAATAAATTCGTCATAATTACAATTTAGTAAGAAGAAATGCATACAACTAATATCTGTTATAGGCCTGGCCTGGCTCTTATTATTTATGATTTTAAATTATACTCAATTATAAAAGTTTTAAGGTTGGAAAAATTAAATTTGTTTTGAAACCAAATAAATAATTTTTTACAATGAACTTCCTTGGCATGTAGTTAGTTGTGTGGGCCTTAATACTATTAATTTCTGAATCACTGAATGGAATTTGAAGTATATCACAGAATTAAAAATGCAGTTCTAATTCTGGAATATTTTATGAAATTTCGCAAACTTAATATAAGAAATTAAAATTTTTAATACTTATGATTGTTATGAACACCAACTTATTTTAATTTTATTCCTCATTTACTTATGTACATTTTTATCTCTTATGACAACAAAATAAAATATAAAATTAAAAAACTTTGCATCTGTTATTAGTGCCATAAGTAACAATATTCAAAGGGTAACATAGTGTTGAATTTGTATTTTCAGAATATAAGCAAAATTTATTTAAGGCAGTGGGCGATTGAAAAAATGGTCACAAGTAAAAAAGTGTAAGGAAAAATAGGAAAAAAACTTCATATTTACTAAGCTTATCTTTTTCATTGTAGCAAAGAAATTCACATAATTTTTGTACTATGTTAATCTCTCAAAATATATAGTGGGTCAAAAACCTTATTTTAGAGCTAGAATGGTAAACAGTACTCAAATCAAAAAGATTTTTAAATATTTAAATAATTTCAATATTTTTTCTGTTTTGATTATTTTCAAATATTTTGTTTAATTAATTTTATACGCACACATACATACATATTATTTGAATTTCAATTAGAATTTAGAACGTGAAAGTAAATTGTTCAAAAAATCTAAGTATAGTACATAATGTACTCGTATGTATAAATAAATAATCTAAAAATGTATTGAACCTTTTTTAAGCCCATATAAAGTTTCCGGGTTAAAAGTTATCAATTTAAGAAAGTTCTTAAGAACTTTTACGTTCGGATCGAACCGAAAATTGCCAAATTTTTACATATATGAATATATATGTCGTATGTATATATTTATATATCTACACATTATATTACAACAATATGTAATGTCATGATTTACATTTATTACATTTACTTATATAGTGTAGATCATAATAAATGTATTGAGCTCTAGTATTAACGAAAAAGAATAATAATTTTAATAAGATTAATTAGATTTATTAAACTCTTTTCATATTTTAAATAAATATGTGGTCCAATAGATCCTTACACGGTACACTGCTACCTCGGTTTTACAAATCTGCGATCTACAATATTTTGGATTAGGTCAGAAAACTAATAAAAATTTTTATGGATACTTTTTATCTATAATGTGTAGATAAAAAATATAAAATGGAATCTAATTAAATGCTCAAATTAAAAATGAAAACAATTTAAAAATTTCCGGATTCTTCATACATAAGAGCTTATAAAAACTGTTATACAAAACATTAAATAGATTAAATGAGAATTTTATACAGATATGCTGCCGATAATTTTCCCCCTTTCCCCTTATGAGTTTTGTTTCTTTTAATTAGAATATTTTTTATGAGTAATTACGCAAGAAGCGATATTATTTAAAAATAGTTTAAATGGCATTATCAATTTCATGTTGTAACTGTGAAAATTGTTTTCAAAATTTTGGAGTTTTAATTTTGAAAATTAATTTTATATTTTAATTTAACAAATTGCATTCAGTATCTTGTATTGTTGCAGAACTTGCTCTGGCCATCAGGAGGCGCAGATTTACTTGTAACCGGAAAAAAACTTTTACTTCAATACAATAAATTAGGGCTACAATAAGCCATGACTGGTTGCGGTGGTCGAAATGTTCCTTTGTCCATATTTCTCTTGAGTAATCTACAATCTATACAGTATACAATTTTTGCAGAATTAAAACTTAAACTTTTTAAAAGTGAAAAATTATTTTCTTCTTAAATGAATTACTCAACAACATTTATATACACCCATTTATACAAACATTAAATGAAGGTATATAATGTTTATTGAACCAATGTTACTGATACCATATTAATTTGATTTTTGTAAAGAAACTTCAACACAATCATAAAAATGACGGGAATTTCTTACAAAAATTCAGATTTTTTCTTAATTCTGACGGAAGTTTATAATGATAAGCAAAAGGGTCACGTGAGGCTATCAATAATTGTAGCTCTGCCATTACTAAAAGATAAAAAAATAATTACATACAATACATACAATATGTTACTTATATGTATCAATTACAAATTTTATGTGTGCATATGTATGTACATAGAGATTTTGTATTTTAAATTAAATGAAAATTTTAATTTGCTTAAGAAATCCACAATTGTTATTTAGTAAAATAATTTTTGTTTAACAATGTGTGTATAATATGAACCATTATAATATTATATATAAATTC